CTCCTCCTCCTCCCACATCCCACCCAGATCTCATGCCACAAAATACAACAATGCCCCCGAAACAACACATCCACATCGCCCTCCTGGACACCGACCTCCCCGTCCCCACCATCTACGCCCACCGCGGCCTCTACAGCACGCAGTTCCGACACCTCCTCCGCGCCGCCGCCGCCACCATCAACCCGGCCTACGAACTCCACACCACCGCCTTCGACGTGGTGGGCGGCCACCTCCCCGCCTACGCCAGTCTATCCCAGCACTCCTCAACCCCAAACCCCGGAGCCAGCACCGCCTCCACCTCCAACCTTGCAGCCGAAGACACAGCCCTCAACCCCCTCTCCATCCCCATCACCGCCATCCTAATCACGGGCTCCGCCGCCGCGGCCTACGACCCCACCAAACCCTGGATCGCGGCCCTCACCACCTTCCTCCAAACCGTCCACTCTCAGTACCAGGGTGTCCGGCTCTTCGGCAGCTGTTTCGGCCACCAGATCCTCGCCCGGGCGCTGCTGGAGCTGCAGGGCGCTGCGGGCCAGCAGCCCTACGTGCGCGTGGAGCCTGCGCCGCATGGGAAGGAGGTCGGGTTGAAGAGCGTCGTCCTCACCCCGGAGTTCACGGGAGCGTTTCCGGGGGCGTTTGCGTCTCCACACAGCCGGAATGTTCCGCCGGATGGGCAAGATGCAACGGACGCGGACGGGCGATGGAGGTGGAGGTGGAACATCCAGATGATCCACGGCGACCACGTCCGGGTCTGTCGGCCCTTGCCGGCGGGGTGGTGCGTGGTCGGGGCCAGTGCGGAGTGTGCGGTGCAGGGGCTTTATCGCCCGGGCAGGGTGCTGACCTATCAGGGGCATTTTGAGTTCGATGCCGAGGTTAACCGCGAGACGTGTCTGGAGTTTGGAAGGAGGGAGGGGTGGAAGGCTGAGGATGTGGAGAGGTGGGTGCAGGCGATTGGGGCGGATGAGGAGCGGAGTGATGCGGTGGGGGCAGCGGGGGTGGTGGTGAGGTTCTTTGCGGGGGAGGATGCGGGGGAGGATGAGCACGGGGATGATATTGCTTTGGTGCGGGGTGGTGTTGGGGTGCTTGGGGAGGGGGAAGGGAAGGATGGTACAGAGAAAACGGGCTCGGGTTGGAATTGGTTTAAGCTGCTGGGGTGGAAGGATGGTTAGGTTTGGTTACTGGGACCGGTTATGAATATTGATGTTGGAATAGGTATGGGTATAGACAGCAAATAGAAACAAGAAAAAGTATTTTATGAACTTCATGGATTTGAAAATGTAAGTATGTTTTTGGACGAGACCTACAGTATTTGACCAGCCTCGCCTAGGGCCCTAGGTATTGTACCTATTTCTTTTCAGCCTTCGGCTCAGCCTTCTGCTGAGGCTTGCGCTGGGTCTGCTGTTGAGGCCTCTGCTCAGCCTTCTGCTCAGCCTTCTGTTGATGCCTCTGCTGAGGAGTCTGCTCAGGCGTCTGCTCAGTCTCCTGCTCAGGCTTCTGCTGAGAACTCTGCTGAGTCTTCAGCTCACCCTTCCTCCCACCCCTCTTCCCCGACTTTTTCGCCCTCAGCGGCCGCGGACGAAGCTCCGTCGCCTCGATATTCGCCCCATGCGGCTGCTGCTGTTCAAGCAGACGCAGCCAGTCGCGCTGGTGCGCGTCTTTCTCGTACAGGTCGGCGCGGTCTCGCCAGGTCTTCACGTCCAGCCGCAGGCGCCGGGGCGGGTCGAAGGTCTTCTCCTTGGGCGGCGGGACGCGCCGGACCCTCAGGAACTGGATGGCCTTGAGCCACGGGCGATCCGAGCCCTCGAAGGCGTCGTTGATCTTCTTGAGGATCACCTCCTCGGGCAGCGGACGCCACTTCTTGTCCAGGTACAGCTCCTGGTGCGAGCACACGAAGATGAACGGCTGCTCCCGATACTCCGGCGTCTGCGCCGCCGCCGGTGCCGGGGTGGCGGTGGGTGCTGGGGGTGGAGCCACCACCGTCGAGTTCAGGGGGATCATGTCTGACAAGTTGAGGCGCACCATTCTGGCTGAGTTTCGAGGGGTCCTGTGAGTGTTTCTTTGGGTTAGGTGTGATCTGAGTTGTGGGTCAGGTCTGGGTTGTAGGAGATGGACCGGTGGGAGGGGTGATTTTATATTGAACGCATGGGTCGAACTTGAGATTGTGGGATAGGAGGGTTCCGGTATGTTCGTAAAGGATCCAAGTTGGGCCATTGTCCTGATCAGGGACCAAGCCATGATCTGGGAGGACGGATAAAGAAGCCTCTTGCATGTCGTGTGTCAACAAGGGATTAGCTGAAATGCTCATTTAGATGGTCTTTGCTCTTCGTGAGATATTCACATCCAGGTGATGTCTTCATTGTATGGGTTGATGCCATGGGCCGTCTGACTCTGATAGACCTTTGATGCAGGATGCATTCTTTGAGTGTGTGCTTTGTTGTATTGGATATGAACAGGATTGTGGATAGCCTCTACTACGGGAGCTATCTCGAATGCCGGTATACTCCGTCTTGATCCGTAGTTATGGTTCGCTGGAACGACAAGGCTATCACAAGCCTGAGGGCCACCTGAGGAAGACTTCAGACTCATTTGATACCAAGCATACACGGTATGGTACGGAGAGGAAAGTAGGACTTCTTGAATGTCATTCGTGAGAAATGCTGCTAGAAGTAGCATGCCGGCCGCAGGTCCCCATGCGGAGACGATAAGATAAGCGTGACCGGAAATTTTTCGAAGGGGTTTGCTTGGCATCGCGGTGATTCCAGAGATGCAGCTTGGTCGTGATCAATCTACGTCGTGGATACCATCTCGAGTCCCAGGTGTTGGCGCTGCGGGGGATAGTCCAGATTTTCGCTACGATTGACTTACCGTGTTAAGAGCTATGCCACTAGTTACGAGATGGCGGCCCAGGAAGGCGCAGGGAAAGCACTACGAGAGGTCCAAAGCCTCGCGACAGGGACGCAGGGAAACGAAATGCAGCAATGCCCCAGCCCGACCTTGCATGTGTCCATCAGACAACACCCAGTCGCAACTGCGCGCACAACCCCAACTCATCGACCCAATCACCAAATCGAAAGAACTTACAGACCCCATTTTGAACGACGGATAGATGGAGAGCAGAACGCTCCCATCTATACACACCATTGTGAATCACAGCGAAAGAAAAAAAAATATAGATCAAGAATGGATATTTCATTTTTTTTCATTCGTCCGTGATTGCGCCAGGATTCCGCAGGGTAGACGTGTCCATCTATACCCCTTGAGAATAAGTGGCTGGATCAGCGGGGAAGGCAAGGGGAGGGCCTCCGTGAATCCCGCGTCGTTTTTAATCGATAAAGATCAACTCCTGCCATTTTGCAAAAATAGGATGCACCCGGAACCCCACAAAACGCTCTTCCAGCAACATAATCACATCAGAGGACCGCGCATTTAAGCGGACTTGACGGCCTCACGGCCCTTGGCCTTGCGGGCAAGGATCTCCTCACGGTCCTTGTCGAGGTGGAGCTTGGTGATGACGACGTTGGAGGGGTGGATGGGGAGAGGGACGCTCTGGCCGTTGGACTTCTCGCGGACGACGCGCTCGACGTGGATGCACCACTTGAGACGGTAGACGGAGGTGATCTTGCCGTCACGGCCCTTGTTGGAACCACGGACAATCTGGACCTCGTCACCCTTGCGGATGGGGATGGAGCGGACCTGTTGGTCGAAGTGATTAGTAGAAGTTCGTTTGGTTGATCCCAGTGTTCAAAATTGACTCCGTTCACTTCCGAGGGCGGATGGCAGATTTTGACCAGGCAAGTGGAAGATCGGTTCGTCGCAAACTTACACCGTACTTCTCGCGGAGCTCCTTGTTCAGGCTGGCGCTAAGGATCACGCGGCGCTCGGAGGACTAATGTGCTAGGTAAGTCTTCATGTCGTCGACCAAAGGGCGTTAAGGAAAAACTCATACGGGAGCGCTGAAGTGAGCCTTACGGCTCTTGGAGCGGGAAGAAGCGACTGTGCATTTCATTAGCATTGAGAGTCAATCGAAGAGAGCATGCGCCGGGATAACATACCCTGAGTGTTGCGAACAGCCATTGTGCCGGGGTCCTTGAGGGTGTCGTGAAAGAGGATGGATGGGGCTCAAGTTGTCGGATTGTCGTTGATCGGGAGAAAAGACTTTTGTGGTCGTTTCAATATTCGATGTGGGCGGGTTGTGCGCCACGTGACCTGGCTGAGTAAGGCTAGGGTTGGGCTCTAGCCTCTGATTGGGACTGATTGGAACTGATCGGAAGACCCACCCTCAGCTCACTCACCGCTCAGAGTAAGCAGTTCTGCCGGTTCTGCCGGCTGGTCTCGAAGCGGTCAGAGTTGGCATTCTTGGTTGTTTCAACTTTCCAGCTCGTACTGTACAGTACATCAGTTCCGGTCCTCAAGTGTTTATGCCACGGGCTGCCCACACTCCATCTCACTGGCAAACAATTTGTATTCTATCAACACAATCTCATACCACTCATGTATGGGGGGGCTTCCAGACAAATCTTATTTTTCGTTTCATCAAAACCCATCGAAATCTGCCAATATCGATTTCTCTCTGCGGTGAACGGTGAGAATCAAGCTAAATCAGCCGCCGTCGTCATTGTATCTCATCACCGGTCTGCAGAAGAAGCACCTCGTAAAGAAGCTCCATAAGGAGCTCCATCGAGCCCCCACACTATCAAGGTACTGAGTACTTCACACCGTGAGAACATTCGGGCTAGGACATCCTGTTCGGAGCTATTTCGGAGTAGGTCGGCTGTTCTGCAGCAGACCAGGAAGCGCGCTAAAATATATACTTCGGCACGGGAGGGAAAGCGTGGGGGTTACCACTGATTCGACATCATGTAGGACAACCACCACAGGTAACAGAGACTGTTCTTGCGACAAACTTCAGCTCTTAAGAGCTTTCCACCGCTTTGAATTATTGGGTTTCAATGGTCATAGACCGTCTCTGCGGTGTCGCAGCACAACCTCATGAAAACCCGCGCGGTCCAAGAATGCCTTGGATGAGCTAGACATAAGCTTCGTGATGCATTTCTATCGTGATCAAGCTTACCGTGCGAATCCCCATTCTAAGACATGCCAAGCAAGCTGAAAGCATCAGAATCCTCACGTTCTAATAACGATTTGTCAAGCAGAAGATAAGAATCCCGCGAACAGGGCTGCAGATGCCAGCCACCAGTTACCCTGCAGATCTGGCACCGGCCAACACACCTGCAGAATGCAGATCCATTCCAATCGCGATCTTGCCCCCTCCTTCAAACCCCCTGCTCGTACAGTATTTAAGGGTCTATGAAGGGCCTGATAGCCACCGATTTCTCTTCCAAACTCACATTCGGACATTTATCCATCATGTCCCTGCGGTCGATTCTGTTCTCGCTTTCCGCCTCGTTGGCGTCGGCAACCAACCTCTATGCCACTCACTATAGCGGCACGGTCTACTCCCTCTCGCTGACGCACAGCAGCAATGGCAGCGACCTGGCCATCTCGTCGGAGATCCAGGGTTGTGGCGCCATGCCCAGCTGGCTGACCCTCGACCCCGCCACGCGCATCATTTACTGCAACGACGAGACGGGTGACGCCTCGACCAATGGCTCCCTGAACGCCCTCTCCGCGTCGACCGACGGTACCCTGAAGCTGATCGCCAGCACCGACGCCGCTCCGGGAGGTGGTGTGAACAGCGTCATTTACACCGGCGAACATGGTGCCCAATACCTGGCCATTGCACATTAGTATGTCTCACCACCGCATCTTATCCTACCTACTGCGGAGTAGTATTTACCGAGGCACCCCCACTAACAATCATCCCCCCCCTTCAACAGCGGCGGCTCGGCTCTCTCCACTTTTACCCTTCCCCTCACCCCAGACTCGCAACCCCTGCAGGTTTTCCGCTACACCTTCTCCGACGACAACCCCAAACGCCGCCCCCAGCAAGATTCCCCACACCCGCACCAAGTTTTCCTCGACCCGACCGGCTCCTTCGTCCTCGTCCCTGATTTGGGGTCGGACCTCCTCCGCGTCTACGCCATTGACAAGGCCACTGGCAAGCTGCAGTCCCACTGCACTGACCTGACCTACCCGACGGGCAGCGGACCCCGCCACGGTCTCTTCTGGGAGTCCGCCGACGACCACCACAGCATCCTGACCACCAACAACAACCGCAACACCCGCCGCAACACCCGCCGCAACACCCGCCGCAACACCCGCCGCAACCGCAACCAGGCCCAACAACAAGGCGCCGCCACCCTTTACACCGCCAACGAACTCGACGGCCACCTTAAAGTCTTCGACGTCTCCTACGTCTCCGACGGCTGCCTCTCCTTCCGCCAGCTCCAGGCCCTCGTGCCCTACCCGACCACTAACGACTCGCTCCCGACCGGGGCGACGCTGGCCGAGATCCGCAAGGCCGGGAATGGGCTGTATGTGTCGGTACGCTCCGACCACGGCTTCGCGCCCTACGACAGCATTGCCACGCTGACCCGCCATGCGAATGCTTCCGTTGAGTTCGAGCGCTTGAGTTCCGCGTATGGTACCGTCCCCCGGACGTTTGTCATCAACAAGGCGGGCGACCTGGTGGCCATTGGCGACCAGGCGAGCTCCAACGTCGCGATCGTGGCACGTGACCCCGTCACGGGCGTCTTGGGCGAGAAGATCGCCGAGTTGCAGGTCGGGGAGCCCGGTGCGGTGGGCACGGCCGAGGGGTTGAGCAGCATCATCTGGGATGAGTGAGTGCTTGCTCCCTGGGGCTTGGAAAAAGTACATAGTTGGGGTTTGCATGCTGCATGCATGCCAGATACCGCGAGCGAGACTGAACAGTGTGAAATGAGTCGTCAGTAGTCGATTGACTTACCTACATATCTATATATTATGTGAATAAATGGACCCTTTGGCTTGTGTTTCGATCTTTCCACTCAGACATGATCCTGTAGCGCAAGGGACCGGGGGACATCGACACATCGGTCGGAAAACCTGCAGATCCCGTTCGGGACATCTCCAGCTCGGGCCATTGACACGGAGGGCTTGAGTCGTGCCCAAGCTGAACAAGCTGGACAGGTTATGTCGACCGTCACTAGACACGTATTCTTTGAACAACAATACATTGGAGGCTACTGCTGGGACCCTCGACGATCTGGGGATGCTGGACGCAATGCATTATTTCTGGATAAGAGACGATCATAGGAGTGTGATCTAATGATATTGCCCGGGGAAAATTGTAATGCCAGTGTGATGTCCTCCCTTCAGGTCTCCTCTGCATGCATGCATCAACTGTGGGAGCAGAGAAGATGCTACGGAAGACCCTGCTTTCCCGGTCATGGTGGATGGACGGGCAGTACGAAAGGCGGTGTACTGAAGGTGACCGCTCGCCCCTCGCGTGCAGCTCGGTTCCATTCTGTTTCCGTAATTCTGCCACTCCTCCTTTTCCACCTTCCATACACTGACAGAATCTTGGGTACGGACTAGAGCTCTGCTCCATGCTCGGCTTCATGCTCAAGTGGGAATTCATCGTGTCGAAGACTGTTGATGACTTTATGATGAGTTACCACACGCCTGGCCCCGGACCATGCCCTTATGTGTTCTAGCTTCCAAGCACTTGTCCAATCTCAGGCCTCCATGCCCAAGACAGCGAGTGGATCTGCGGAGCTGGGCGGCGCCGATCTGCTCGGAAAAATGCCATTCGCACTGGTGACTGGAGGAGACCCGGGGAGCTGCATTTCCGAGCTGAAAATGAACGAACTGCCTTTGTGAAACGGATCCATGGGACTCTCCCGCACTCTAATTCCCGAGCCGCAGAGCTGTCGTTAATTCAGACGCACAGTAAGATACCATATGTGACAGCATCCTCGATGTCTCCATTGTTTGTCTTTCGTCTCGCTCTCTCAATTTCTTCCACCGCAAAGCCATGGTTGAGAGAGAGAGAGAGAGAGGAGGGATCTGTTGTTTTTCAGCTCCACCACGGACTGATCGGCTACTTTAGCGTGTGACAATCTACGCGATCGAACGCTATCGGACGCCATCTGCCGATCACTACCTTCCGAGAACCATTCACAGCTTCGACAGCTGAATGACAGAGCAGAGCTTTGATCGAGGGGCCCGATTTGGGGCAATCAGAGGCGTCTCTCCAGCAACACCGCCTTTTCCCGGGACCTTCCACAAAGTTGCATCCTTTCGCAGCTCTGCAGATGGAAGCAGAAGCGGAGAGGTCAAGTGGATCTATTCTCAGCTGTGACAAAAGCAAAGTGGAAGCTCTCCGTGCTCTACGGCCATCGCTGCTCGCGGAGAGAGTGGCTTTACTAGAGCATTACAGCCAGCCACCATATTCGCAGCATAAAGAGCAGTATCGATTTGTATCTTACTGTTCGGTGACCGTCTACAAAACAACAAGCGCCACGACACTAGCATCCACTCACATGCAAGATGATCAGATCGTCCTTCGTTAAGAACCACACGGAGCATCTCGGGCCCCATTCTCATGGCTGATAACTCCACTAGCCGGGAAAAGGGAGAGGTTTACTACTCAGCGTGTCCAGGTCCCCAGGCGGCGGTCGTCCATCTTATAAAGGCCCCTCCACCCAGAGCCCATTCCTCGAACGTTTCCATTTGCTCTTTCTTTCTCTGGGCGTCGCTGCAGACTTACGCCAGGGCCTAAGCACATAATTGCTGATACACCTTCCTCCCTTCCTCCTTCCATTCTCGCTCCCCGCCTTTCTATCGTTCGATTGTTAGACATCCCAACTACACATCACTTCACGATGGGAAATCTCTCCCGCCTTCTCACCGTGCTCTCAGCGGGAAGCGCGGCATGGGCGACGCAGGCTCCCCTCGGTTCCGCCAGTGCAGGCGCGAACCAGTGCCTCAGCATGACCGGCGGAGCCCCCCATACTAACTTCGATGCGTGCTGTGGAAGCAGCGCATCTGGCCGCGGCACCGTCGACGGCGTCGAGTTCACCTACACGTGCGGACAGTGGGCGACGCCCTACGCGACCAAACCCGTGACCGCCGCCAGCGCGCGCGAGTGTGCGCAGCTCTGCGCGGCCGCTGGCGCCCAATGTCCCGCGGCCGCCTGGATGTCCAAGGGGCAGTGTTACTTCATCACTTCTGGCGCTTACTCGGTCAGACCGTTGAAGGGGATCCTCTTGCTCGAGAAGACGGGCAAGCTGGTCGCTGGGGAGGAGCCCCCGAAGCCGGAGGGTGGCTGCGACAAGGCCGCCGAGGAGGCGAAGACGCAGTGCGAGAAGGAGGCGGCGGAGCGATGCGAGGCGGACAAGACCCGCATCGGTGAGCAGTGCAAGGCGGATTGTGCTAAGCAGGTCGCTTCCGTCACGGAGCAATGCAATGCGGATAAAGCGAAGCTGGAGGAGCAGATGAACACCAAATGTCGGGACCAGACCGCGGCTGCTGTGCAGGAGCAGGTCGCGAAATGCGAGAAGGAAAAGACCGACCTCGGAGGCTCCTGCGACGACCTCAAGAAGCAGGGCGAGGCCCAGTGTGAGAAGGATAAGACTGCCATCACCGAAGACGCGAAGAAGCAGTGCGATGCGGACAAGACTGCCGTCACCGAGGATGCGAAGAAGCAGTGCAATGCGGACAAGGCGGCTCTGACGTCAGCCTGCGACGCAGAGAAGGACCGCCTCCAGAAGGCGCTCGACGAAGCCAACGAAAAGCTCAAGAAGCTTGAAGGCAGTGGTGGTGGCACCGGCACGTCGACCACCTCGCCGGCCAACGAAGCCCTGCTCGAGGAGATCGCGCGCGAGAACTTCAGCACCATCTGCCCGAAGTTCGGCGGCAAGACTTTCACCACCGTGGACTCCAAGGGCTACAAGCACGAGTGGATGCTTTACTGCCATACCGGGGTCACGGGTCAATCGACCCCCAACTACAACTGGAGCTGCCACACTCAGAACATCATCCAGCTTCTGAAGGAGCAGCAGGAACGGTCGGATCTCAAGGCTCTCTGGGTCAACACCAACAATGTCTGCACTCCTTGGACCGGGGGATATGTTAATGTCGGTGGGCCGTTCACGAACCACCATTTGGTGATGCCCACCCGCCAGCCTTGGAAATGATTGATCTGAGCTATACCAAGTTCAAATCCGGGAGGATGAAGTGCTAACAGCTGCGCGGAGTATAAATAGTCTTAATCTATAAGTGTAGTATGAGGGGTTCAAATCGAGATTAAGGAATGGACATTATGAATGACTAGTATCTTACACTGCTTGCTATGAAAAACACATGTGACATCACCAGCAGTATCATTTGAAGGGCAAATAAGTCACCATTTGAGAATCAAGTATGGCCATTAGGGCGGCTTTAATTCCTCATGTGTCGACCTACCGAAAAACCATTGCTTCTGTCTGTGCACCAGAATACATGCTATACATCCCGCTTCACCATCGCAGCATCCGATAATCTATCTGAATGTGCCAGAATGGCATTCGCCTTTACATGCCTAACCGAGGGGGGCGGAAGGAAGAAAGGAAAAGCCTCAGGGTCTTGTTGGCATCGTGAACTGGTCAATTTAGCTGTATCTGCATTGGTGGGACTTCCGCGACTCTCGACTCTCAACAGAGAAGCCACGCAATCGCTCAATCAGCTTGTTGTCGCTGGCAAGGCTTTGTATGTACCCGGGTGTAAGCGACACTCCGGCTTGGGTTCAGTTGTCAGCAAGGCCAACCAGTCAGTGTAAGTTGAATACTTTCCACAGCAGCAAAAAGCAAGAATGCAAGGGCTTTGCTCCCTGGGGGAGGGAGAACAAATCAGCTAATGAAGAGAATCGATCAATCGCCAATCGACCGGGGACCGTTCGTTGGTTCGTCTCTCCGGTCTGAGGCATCATTCCCATGATACAGAATGAAGGAATGGACCTGGTATCCTGTATCCTCTAGCAACTCTCGGAAGTGGCTATTCTAGAAGAACCCCGTCGCTCAGGATCGAGAGAATCAGGATGTTCCCCCCTGCGACACCCACGAACGTGGCCGTGGCCGTGGCCGTGTCCGAGCCCCATCGAGCGGCAAAGATCAGCATGAAACACCTTATACCACTATCACTGGAGTTGCGCTGCCATGCATCCGAGACAAGGCCCCCCGTATGGCTTTTCCAGCATCGGATGCCGCAAGGGTGGAAAAATCTGGAGTCGATTACCGAAGGCCCTGAAGGTCTGTCTCCTGAGGTCTCCGTAGCCGAATAAGCCACCACGGCCGCATGAAGTTCAATTCATAGATTTCCCTCTATTGTGGAGCAAGATGACTCTAAAAGAGAGAAGCTGTGCAGAAAGCATGATAGATCCCTCTCTCCAAACCCTAAACACAACTGGAGGATTACACCGAGCAAAGCCCCCTTCTCACCAAGGAGAAACATCAGACACTGGAACTTTCCAGGAGAAGGTAACAGCAAGCCATAAACTAGGCTGATTCTCCCTCTCTTGGAGAGATGGTCAACTATCTTCACGAGTGATAACACGAAAGCCAACGGATCTTGCCTCGGGTTGTTTACTCCTCCAGAGTACCCTTGATCACCACCCTCACCCCCGGGGAACCTTTTTTGGCAGCCGGGAAAAGACAGTCCCGGGCAAATTTGCAGTCTTCAATGGTAGCCTGATAGAGCTCCATATCCAACTGCCGGAAGAGCGTCGCGGTGGTGAGATACAATTCGGCCAGCGCCAAGCTACCCCACGTCAGCGTCTATGTCCCTCGAAGATGAAGTGAAAACGTCAAGGGAGAAAGAACATACTGCATCCCTGAGCAATTTCTGCTCCCCTTCGTGAAAGAGACCATATATCTGTCCAACCGCTCTCCAGTCTCCGCAGCCGTGATCCAGCGCTGGGGGTCGAATTTCTCCGGGTCCGGGAAGATGAAAGGGTTCATGTTCATGAAGTACGTGGCGGTGCTCACCGGGGTCTATACGGTAGGATGACACCCACCCCAGCAGGTATGACCCAGTCCTCGAAGTGGAGATTCTCCTGCGGTGCAATGCGCGGGAGTCTGGAGGAAGTGCCCAGACTCAATCGAAGGCCTTCCTGCACCACCCCGTTCTGCGTCCTGTTAGCCTTACCCATATCCCCTCTTTTTCACGCAATAGGCCCCCTTCCCCCACCTGCGAAACAAAAAAAAAAAGGAATCAACCAGGGTGTTGCAGTGAGTTCTCAAATTGACGTCACGGTAACAAAAGCTCTGTCTTCAGTTGAATTCTATCTTCATCCCTGTACTGTATGATCATGGGTGAGCAGGTATTCAGCCTGCCGTGTGCACTATCTCGTCAATTTAAGGATTTTCTTTCTCCGCAAGTAGCGCGCCAACTAGCTAGATACGCGTCTACTCCTTAGGTAAAATTCAACCCTGCAACAGGTCCCAGCACCAAGGTATTGTCCCCGTATGAATACTCACCCCACAATATGACGTTGACGTTGTCGTTGCGGAAAGAATTGTCCGGTTGCAGATGGTGATAAGCTTCATGCCAGATAAAGTTCATCTTCAGCCGTGGTACAAGAGCCGTCATGACTATGACGTCCAAAATTGGCTGCAGTCCACCCAGTCCAATGTTAAAAGTGCATACGCAAAGCCTCGTTTTCTTGATTCGATCGAGGAAATCAAGCTCTGGGAGAACATATACCGGACAGATCAAGGAAGTAGGTCTGATTCGCGCTTTCTAGCATACCTCAAGATCTCCTCGCCGCCGTCAGGTGATTGCCGCTGTCACTGCTGAAGGGGGGTTGACGAAAACAGCTTGAACTGATGGTAGTCGTGATATCATCCCCAGCTGTGACCTCCGTAATAAAGGATGTTGCTTTTCCGGTACTCATCAGTGAGTCTCAATTGGCATAAGCTTCAGAGCAGCATGCCGTTTTCGGCCAGTAAGCATTGTTCCAGAGAATGATAGCTCGGGACACACAAACAAGAAGAAATTTAGAGAGTTGACCTCACTGCAAGGCAATGAGCCTAAAATAAATCGGCTATCCGAGCAAGTCGCTCGAACATATAAAGGGGAGGAAGCCATCTCTCTAAGACCCGTATGCGCCTTTTCAAGGACAATCCCTGCTCCAACGCGCCCAGACACGCTCATCCTCTCCAAACAATTCACCAAGCCCCAAGAACAGGAAAATAATCATCCACCTTCCAAAGACACCAAAATGACCTCGAAACTCCTCATCGCCAGCCTCATCCTCACCGCAAGCACAGCCAACGCCCTCCCCAACCACCCCAACCCACTCGAACAGCTCATGCAGCCCCTAAACAACCTTAACAACCCTCACGAAGTGCTAACCACCCCCTGCCCCGACCCACAACACCAACCCCAAAACCACCCCCACTGGCTCGACATCTCCTACGGCCAATGCTACCATCTCATCCACCCGGACTTCGGCCCCTTAGTCGACAGCACCTGGGGCCTCTCCGCGGCCCCCTTCCAATGGCTGGCCTTCAAGCAAGGCCACAAGCCGCGGCGCCTGCAGGTGTGCCGCACCGAGCACTGCGACGACGACGATGTAGGTGCCGTGGAGAACCACGGCACCTTCTACCTGCGCGACCTGCGCGGCTCGCCCAAGACGCAGTGGCAGCCGCGCTTCCTCAACGTGTTCGAGGGCCTCTCCAGCCAGGTGTGGCCCGATGCGCACGACGGGCAGGGCAAGCGGGCGCGCTTCACGGCGTCGGCGGTCGCGCACGGCGACTGGCTCCGCCTGCGGGTGGTGGAGAGTGCCACCGGGTACAATGGGTTGCATGTCAATTCGGATAGTTGGCCCGAGCATAGTTTTGTGTATACGGATCGGGTGGAGAATAGTTTAAGTTTTTGGTTTGTGAGGTGTGATGGGCATGATGATGGGGAGGGGGTGGATTAGAGGAGGGGTGGGAGTTGGGGGATGCTTTATTGTTGGTTGGTTTTCGATGGAGATGGGTTGGGCGGGTGGGTGGCTGAAGCCTTGAAGGATGGGTGTGGGATTCGAGAGCCAAGGCTAGAGTTGTTGTTGCTCTGGCTGTGTTTGAAGCACATCCATTTATCATGGCAAGACTCCGGGTGGTGATTTCTTTGTTGCATGTTTACTGTGTTCATTAGCTAACGTGCTTCAAACTGTAGCCCTTGTTCTCTGTGTGCGTCCCTGGTGACCTGGTCATGGTGGCTAACCATGGCATTTGATTTCCTGATTCATGGACAGTGCTTCAGTGCATCGATCTCATTGATTGATACTGGATAAAAAGGTAGGAATTGAAGCTCCATAGTTAGGTTGCTGTCTGTGTAGTACCGCATGATTTGGTCGTGTCCGGGATGAAGCCTTGCATCACAAGTGTATTGCAGATTGGCATGACACTACAGGAGTTCTTCGATATGTGACTACTGGAATATGTAGGAGAGGGAAAGCAACAGAAGGCAGAAAACAAAAAAGATGAAAATTGAAAATGACGATTCCACAACAGAAAGGAAAGACGAACAGGCTGTCCCTTGAGTTTGTGATTGCAGAGAATGACAAGATATACTTTGGGCACGAGTCAACCACTTTTTACTTATATGTTTTGTCGCTTTCGAAAACTGTCGGCATAAGCATATGGGAATAAAAAGGACCCTTGATCAAGTAATTTGCTCTAGCATCCTAATCCGCAAAACAATTGCTCGCGTTAAACTCAGTACTGGCATCGCCAGGCAGGCTGTTAGGGCTACAATGGTGCCAGTGCTGAGCAGGAGTTACCACAGTGAGTCATAAAACATCATTTTAACCCATTCTTACATCAAGGCAAGATGGCCGAGTTGGTCTAAGGCGTCAGGTTAAGGTTACCTTAGCAAACAGCTTCTACAAGCTTCCTGATCATCGTTTGATGGCGTGGGTTCGAATCCCACTCTTGTCATTACTTTTTGCCATTTTAGCTGTGTATTTGCGCAACCCATATAGTGCAGTAAGCAATCAATCAACCAGCATCGATGATGCACATCCTTTGCACTTGGTTATCTTCTTCAAAATCTTATCCTCAGAAAGACCCTAAACAAACGATGCTGAGATTACCCACCTCTGGGACAAAAAACTCCCCGGACTTGTTCTCCCGTTTGCTCCCCAAGCCTTTCCGTGGGCAGCTTTCCCCCACCACAGCAGTTCTCCCAGGGTCAGAAAATGACCATTTCAGAATGACGTTTGTTATACACGCCCCTATATCGGAGTCCGTCAGATTGTAGATTTCAGCCTTGTTGCTGATCAATCAGCCAGACTGATATCCTCCACAACAGTTCTTTGTGGTTGGCAAGAAAGCCTGCCGATGCCACAGTATATAGTAAACCTTAAAATAATGTCACAATCTCTAATACCCTCATAAAGCTCCCAGACCGTACTGACCTCTCTTCTCACCGTCATCAGATTCAACTGCCAGACTTTACGAGCAAAGATGAAGCACATCAACAAATTGGCCCTGGCTGTGGCCTGCCTACCCGGTATGGTCCTCAACGCCGCCCCGGTCCCCGAGGACAACACCGCGGACGTGTCCTCCCAGGTTGGTGCGGGTGAGATCGAGCCTGCCGCCGCCTCCAACAGCCCCGAGGGTCACGCGGCGGCGGCGACTCCCGGTGCCTGTGACTGCGAGGGCAGTGACTGTGCCGACCTTGAGGCCGGCGGCCGCGGTGGGTATAACATGGTTGGTGGTGACAACGCCGACGCCAATGCTCCCGAGAATGGTTGCGTGGATGGCCGTTCTGACTGTGACTTGGTTTCGCCCGATGGACGCGGTGGGTACAATATGTTCGGGAACGGCACTACCACCGCTAATGCCACCCAGGATGGCAGTGACTGTGCCGATGTCGAGGCCGGAGGCCGCGGTGGGTACAACATGGTTGATGACAACGACACCAGTCGCAGCGACGATGGCTGCGATGACCACCCCGACTGTGATTCTGGTTCGTCTGATGGAAGTGGCGGGCACCGGGTGCTCGTTATCGGGTCCCCCGACTCCGATCCTATTGCCACTGTTGATTTTCTCTAAATCATGTGGGGCGCTCACTGCTAAGCGTTGGCCATGGCTTATTGACATTGGCTCGAGACGCTGAGCATGATGAGCTCAATAACACGAAACATGGCGACGGAGTTTAACCGGTGGTTTTTATCATAACCAAAATATACAAACCAAGTATGCCTAGTTTAGACTAGAAGAATAAAATAACCTTAACCAGAGTCCGGAATTTGGCAGCAACAACCTGATGTAAGTACTGTCGTGTATATGGGTAATACATACATGGATTGTCTACCGGTAAATGTGAGCCAGGGACGACCTTTTATGACCGCTTTGAGCTCACCTCGAAGGCTGCTTGTATAGATAAGATATGAATCCCTTGTGCAGATACCACATATAAGGTATAATAGAATCGCCAGATCTCATATCAACTGATCAGCTCCACGTTTACGTTCTGAGAGGTCCCTATGAGTAATAGAAAGTAAGATAAGTAAGACCAGCGGCGTGCGAGCCGGTTTATGACCAGAGAGGTGTACGTACCAGCAAGAAATGAGTCTCGAACTATGAAAGATACATGATCGCATCTAACGACTGCATGGAGTAAGATAAGAAGTATGTAAGGTACTATCGCATGACGACAAACGTGTAAAAATGAGGCAGTATGCATCTTGTTCATGGCAAAGAGGCGTGCAATTTGCCACACACTACGTATCTGTTATCTACGTATATGCGAAGTAGTGTGTTTCCAGAGCAATAGTGTTGATTTTAGAGTTTCCGATCTGGCACGACCATGACCCTGTTATTCCCAGAATAGAGCGTTCGACCGTGATGGACCCGCCCCTAGAGTCGACGGCTCGAAAACTAGCAGCGATCTCACCGAGAAATGCAACAAAGCCGCTATGAAAACAGGGGAACCACGGAGTCTAGAATTTGCATGGGCTCGGAGCCAATTGCGAAAGCATTGAAGGTGTAGGTAGGTTGGTTATCAAGGTCGATAGTAGAGGTTTCGATGTGCGTCTCACAAGGAAGGAAGGAAAGATTACTCAGCCACCAAACGCTCCCCAAAGGTCAAGCTCTCCAAGCATAATGCTTATCTCTGTCCTGTGGTGAAAGCAGCCGAGACAGAGAACCTCATGTTTTAGGGCTGCACTCTTGTGGCGTCGGTTCTTTCTCTTGACTCGTGCTCGGTGCACGACCCGGAACCAGAGTTCCGTGAGTGTTCCGGGATGCGGGATCATGCGAACTCTGAACTGACTCGGACTGACTCAGGTTGCTGGCTGAATTTGGGGTCAATTGGAAGACGCAGACTCGGCCACTGGGTGGGATTTAGTCTCCGCGGACAAAAGTCAGTGCGGAGGAAATCCGAAGCATCTCTCCGAGAGTCGCATTTGTGTTGCTGGCCACCTTACCCTGACTAGCCGTGGCCGCGCTGCCGACCGGTGTTATTGCATTGTGCGGTTGTCTCTCCCACTCCCACCTCCAGCTCAAGGTTCACGCCCGGAAATTGGCCATCGAATCCATGGAAAGGAAGAACCAGGTACGAAGGTTAATCAATTGCATCGTACCACTCAGCTTAGCGCTGGAAGCATCCTTGACCTGTTCCTGCTTCCCGGATCCCTGTGCATTGGCCAATCTGGCGATTAGGGCTGGAGGGCAGCGGGTACCTCCCGCCAGACCCCCGGGACGCCCACGGGGGGCCGCTGGCTGCTGCTGAATTTTCAGTGCTCGTCCTGAGTGAATATTTGGAACGGTGCAGACCAACCCAATGACCGAAGGCTTTGGTGAGAGCGCACAGGTGAATCCATTTGTCACCCAAACTTTGACATCCTTGGGTTCCCCACCGCGTCATTGAACTTTAATCCCGGATCCAGGACGGAGCGCACTCCTTGGATGAGCTTGGACCAGAAGCAATTTTCCAGTTGGGTTGGGTCGCCTTCATGCAGTGGGATCGGGGATCGAACCGCAAGCGAGATGGCGTGGAGCATATTTCTTGCAGTCATCGAACAGGCTACTCGGCAACTTACTTCTGCAGAACTACCTCGTGGCGAGTGCGTCGGTTGACTGGTGCCCTCTGATATTTGGTCTAGTCTAGTGGCTTGGTCTAGATAATGAGGTCCCCACCCGAGCAATTTCTCAGAGTAGCCGACAGGAGCCGGCCAACTAAGAAACAGAACCCAGTCTCGATTCTCGAACCATGTGTGCAGAATCCGTGCCTAAAGTTTAAAACCCATCCCTGCAAGCGCCATCAGGAATAAATATAACTAAAACGGCGATCCCCGTTTTCTTTGCTCGAGGCGATCGTCGCCGCTATTGCTACAGTCCCTCCCCCCATCTCTTGCCGTTTCTCACGATGCACAATCCCGACGGCTCTGCCCTGGAAAAGGGTATATGGGTGGCCGTCGGTATTGCGACGGTGATCCTTATCCTTCGCGTTGTTGCGAAAATCAAAATCCGCCAGCTGTATGTCGACGATGCGTTGATGTTCATCTCTTGGGTACGACAGCCCCTTGCCTCGGCATTTCACTCAGAAAGCTTTTGATCATGAGTCGCTAACGTCTCAATGTCTCCATTTAGGCGTTGGCCCTGTCCTCGACGGTCCTCCTGACGCTCTCCGTGCGCGAAGGCTTCGGCTCCGACCTCACACTGCTTCCCACCAAGAATGTGGAGCACATCCTCAAGTACATCGCGCTGGAGGTGCTGCTGGTGACGATCAGCACGGGCATCGCGCGCTGCTCCTTCGTGATCTATCTGCTGGGGATCCTGGGCGGCAACAAGAAGTACCAGCTCGCGCTGTGGGTGGCGATGCTGCTGCAGCTGGCGGCCAATATCGTGTCCGCGGTGCTGCCCATGAGCATCTGCCGGGACGACCGGATCCTGTGGAATGCGAACATCAAGACCACCTGCGGCAACACGGTGGCGGTGGTGCGGTTCTCCTACTTCTCGTCGTGTGAGTTCTGCCCACGAAACCCTTTCGAGCTCTCGCTTCTTCGATTCGAGTCAACCAGACTAACAAGGCATGGCGATGGATACAGCCGTCAACACTGCGACCGACCTCTTCCTCGCCGTCTTCCCGACCATCGTCTTCTGGAACCTGAACCTCCGCCTCCGGATCAAGATCAGTCTGATCGTGCTGTTGAGTCTGGGTCTGGTGTATGTGGACCCTACCCTACCCCGAGGCCTTAGCTTCCGCCTACACGTACAATCAACTCCCCCAAACTAACACCAAACTAGGGCAATGATCGCCTCGATCATCAAAACCACCAAGCTAAAGGACGTCCCCAGCGTGACCAACATCGGGGCCTCGGGCGGGGTGGAGCTGATCCGCTGGGGATTCGCGGAGAGCCTGATCATCATCATCACGAGCTCGGTGCCCTGCGTGCGGCCCCTGCTGATCTCCTCGGTGCAGAAGCTCTCGTCCGCGGCGCGGTCGCGCTCCTACGAGCTGTCCGGCCCCTACTCCAAGGGCAAGGAGTCGGCCCCCGGCGGCCACTACTACGAGCGGCAGGCGTCGGGCCAGCGCGACGACGCCGACAGCATCGAGCAGATCCTGAAGGATCTCCATCGGCCTCCGTCGGGGTCCGATCGCCGCCGGGACGAGGAGGGGGGGGTCGTCGTGGAGGGTGGGATTCAGAAGCAGGTCGAGTTCTCTGTGGTGACGGCGCGGGACGAGTCGTAGGCTGTTCTAATTAACCTATGATCATGTTTAATTCTATTGTATTGTAGCATTATCATGGATTTTTGAATGTTGTGTTCCTGTCTCCAACGCAGGGACTACCGGCGGGCGGGCATGTTTCACCCCCCGCGGACCGGGGAGATGGTGCGCGCGGGGAGAGAAACCGAAACCTGGATTTTTTTTTTTTCTTTGATTTTTTTTTCTTTGGCGGTGGTGCCAGTTGCCACCCATGCCGGTTTTCCCGCTTCTCAAATTTGAGGAGGGGACCACATTACCTACCTAAAAGGCCCTTCCCCGCTTGTAGCCGTTCGGTAGTTGTAATTGGGTAAACCCGCGACCATCGCTACCAGAGTCTCTTTCGGCTTTCAACCAGTCAATCGCAAAAAAGGGGGAAGGCACTGGGCTGGCAGACTTAAGGTGTCTCAGATAACCCAAGCCACTGGAATTCTTTCAATCAAGAGTGGGTCATTATTTTGCCGGTAGTCTAGTCTAGGGCTCCTGCTTCCCTTGGGGTTAGCGTGGCCTAACCTCGCCAAGTTAGAAGTACTTATGCAGTGGCCCGGCGGCCGGGGCTAGTCCAGATGCCATCAATCTCCGGGACTTCGGATCTATCGCGTCTCGCTTGTTTGGCGTGCTAATTTTGGGGCGCTGATGACTTTTAGAATGGGTCATTTCTCGTATTCATTCTTCGACTGTTCCTCGTCGTCTGTGCTGGGAGGTTGTTGTGTGGTGGTTCTCCTGTTGTGTCTTTCATTTCAACCGTACTTCGGCCGTGATGTAGGGGGTTTGTTTCGTTGTTTGGTTGTTGAGACGTATGAAGTGACATCTTGAAGATTCTTGTGATGGATGCTGATGCACGGCTTTGCCTCATTTCAATACCTCTGAGCATTGTGAGCGTGTCTCTTAGACTACTACATGGCTCACAGGCTCTGAGGGGGAAAAAGGCTCTCTGCTTATTTGCTAAGAAAGATAGGCTGATCGCAAGCAAACAGCTACGCTTAAGTGTCCTGCAGACATAGAGAGACCCTTCAGCGCACTGATTCCTGAACTGCAAATTCCCACCCAAGAGGGGGTTTTGAGAAGGGGAAGAGAAAGGGTCAAATGGGGCCCACGTGCTCTAACCACTACTTGAGGCCTGCGAGCTCCTTTTCTATTCACTTGTTATGCTCGACTCAAGAGCCCTCCTCCTCAAGTCACTTTTCCTAAGTGAAGTCATTCATTTGACCAGACCCAATTGCTCTTCCTGTCCATGCGCCAGGCAGGCTTGCCTTCCCACTTCACAACTACTGCCTGCCAGTTGGATCACTACATCGTGATCCTCCCCCCCACCAGACTCAATTCGAACACCGCACCTGCACTTCATCCTAAGCAACCAAGCGGCGGATACGAGCACAGTGCAGCTAGAAGAGAACAACCCGAGAACCCCCATCTTCAAAGCGCGAGGAGACAGTCCCGCTCCATAGTTACAAAGCTATATCCCCCTCCCCGAAATTAGGGCTACACTTCATACTAATACCCATCCACCACCCCCCTTTCCACCTCCTCCCTCCGCCGTTCCTCATCCACCGCCCACCACCACCCAACCAACTCATCCCCCTCCCCCTCGTCCTCCTCCCGATCAACCTGCCACGGCTTCACCGCAAAAATAAAATGCACATTCTTCACCGCCCCATCCCGCCAGATCCCCGCATGCGTACCCTCACCCTCACCCCCACCCACCCCGCGCATCGGCTTCAACGCATTATACACATACGGCAACGCCCGCCACCGGCCCCGGAACACATTCGACAGCAGCTCCTGGTCCGCCAGCGCGTACCGTTTGACCTGCTCCGTGTCCTGGAGCGCCGTCTGCACCGCGACGAAGTCGGCCTGCCGGGGCTGCACGACCAGCAGCCCGCTGTTGAGCATCGCCACGCCCGCGGTAGCCGGGGGACCGGTGGTTTGCGCCGTATCCGGGGTGGGGTGTTGGGTTGTGTAGGCGCAGTTTGCGGGGGTCCTTTTTTTTTCGGTTCGCAAAGTCAGTCTTGGATGTAGTGTATAGTGGTAGTTCGGGGATGGGGGGAAGTGGGCGGTTCTGGGCGGAGGGAGGCGAGGGTGGCGTACCAGTCCCTCGGATAATGCTGCTTTTTCAGCGGGTTGCAGGCGCAGGCGTGGCTGGCCGCCAGGATGCGGTCCTCATCGAGGGGAATCTCCATCAGCTCGTCCATGTTCTGCCGCACGAGCATGTCGCTGTCCAGCAGGACGATGCGGGCGTAGTCTTCCAGCGCGAACACGATGAGCTTCTTCCACGCTTCCGCGAAGCGGGGGTCGTGCTCGTGGGTGCAAGTCCCGGACGGGGTGATGGTGGGGACCTCGCGGGAGGGGATGCCGCGGGCGCGGAGGGCGGCGACGCCTTCGTCGGGGAAGGAGGTCGTGTAGAGGGCGATGAAGGGGTAGGGGGTGTTGGTGCGGTGGAGGGAGTGGGCGAGGGTTAGGAGGCCCGGCAGGTAGTTTAGGTTCGTGATCAGGGAGGCCCAGACTTGGGGTTGGGGTTAGTAAGTTAGTGGTCGGTCTGGAGGTGGGTAGGGCTGTACTGTACTGTACCTTTTTGCGGGGGTTCGGCCATGGTGATGGTTCTGCGGTGTGGATGGGAGATTCTGCTCTGGGGTTCTGCGGGGGTGGGTTCAGGATGTTATCACCGCATACAGGCGGGGATCGAGAATATATATATGACGTACGCACCGTACTTTGTATCGCGATTGCTGGGCAGAGATCGAGATTTCGATCGATTGGTGCCGATCACGGAGATCAGCTCAGCTCGCCAGGCGTGGGCAACCTTGAATTGAGAATTCAGCTCCAGACCCACTCCTTTATCTTGGCTGCGGAACTAAAGTTCCGCCACGGCCAATGAGGATGCTCGGACAGGGGTATGCTTGGAGCTGAGGGCTGTTTGTGCCCCTTGATGCTCGGTGTTCGTCCGGCTGAGGCAAGGTAGTCTTGCAGAACTGTCTCGTGCAGGTGCATGAATCGATTGTGGCAGTCGCGGACCCACCGCATGTTTGTTTTTCATTTCGATGAGCGGATGAGATGGAGTTTCTTGATACTAAATCATCGAAAAGCAACAAATGGGGTATCCCGAGGGGGTTAGATGCCTTTGTGCCCGAATGCTCAGTGCTGGTCTCAGCCCATTCTCTTTTCTAACCTCCGTTGCGATTAGCCCTATTTCCCTGTAGAACTGAAACGTAGCAGTGATCATGCCCCGACCCGACCCGCTCCGTCCCGTTCCCGTCCCAGATGAACAGCCATCCTTATCCGCCCTAATCCGCCCCGAATCAAGGCAGTTCCACTAAGAAACAAGCAGCGACCGGGTGAGCAAGACCCCTGACCCCGCTCAGCCTCGTGGCAAGATGTGAGACAACGGGTGTCCGGGCTGTAAGGGAGGATGGCTAGGAAAGTGGACCGATTTACAAGACTAACAGCACTAAAGGAACCAGATCGCGAAACTAGAGGCACTAAAGAGACCAGACCACAAGACTAACGACACTAAGGAAGCACAATCATATGACCAACCGCGTCAAAGGCACCTCAAAGTGCAGTAGAGCTAACTGGTCCGGACAGACCAGATAGAGACTTAGTCCCCTTTCCATCGAATGCGGATCTTCGCTGCCCTTTGAGACGATGATTTTTCCGGCCTGAATCCATCTAGAAGCAAACACAACACAACACTACCTACTACAGACACCCAACCCGGACACACCCAGTACCCAGCCCGGCGTAGCCCTCAGCCCTACCCCCTCTCCCACCGCGCTTTTGTCCTTCCTTCCCGGCCTCCTCCACCCACATATCTTCACCCCCCAACCTTCAAAGCACAATCGACTACTCCGCCGTCTGGACAAGCGCAGAGCCCTTCCTCACCCCGATCCAGCACCAAACATCCAACAACCCACCGCCTGCACCCACGCCGCGCCCGCCAGCGTAGACAACGCCGTCAGTCCATGCCGGTAGAGCGGGGCATCGCCCGTCCGGAAGATCTGGCCCCCGCTGATCCCGGATAGATTGGCGGCCATGATGACGAGTCTGCTTGTGTTAGTTGTTCTTTTGATTTCAGTGTTGAGCCAGTGATTTGTGGAGGAGATACGAACGCAAGAGCCACGCTTCTTTCCTGGGGCGTGGTGCAGTTCACTGCTAGCCGGGCGACGTTTAGGATGCTTTGGAGAAAGTATGAGTTGCGTGAAAGAAAAATAATAGGAAAGAAAGAAAGAAAGAAAGAAGGAAAGAAAGAATGGGAAAGAAGGAAGGTAAGGATCGTCAGGGCAAGGACGTACTGCATGGCCGCATACCCCACGCTCGCCGCGACGAGGGTCCCGTCCTTATGTTGCCCGCTCGCGGTGGTGGGCATCTCGCGGAGGCAGATGTAGCCGATGAGGTTCCAGGTACTGCCTAGGTGGACGAAGAGGCCGCGCTTGTTGGTACGGTCGCTTTCTGAGGTTAGTATTCAAGTCGGGTGGGAAAGACAGACTGTTGTGAGGATATGTGGGGGTTCTGAGAGGATACTGCAGGGAACGTACCTCAAATACGCAAATGCCAAAGTCAGCACCATACTGCAGTAAGACCGGGACAGATGCCAGCAGGTTGGCGTGAGTGGCATCATAACCCAAAGATTTGATGAGCGTCGGAGTGTAGGTGGTCATCCCGGAGGCGGATGCGCACGCGGCTGTCGTCGGTGGGGGCTGCCTTTCGCGTCGGCTGCATACCGCTGTTGGATGACTTCTAGCTCGTCCGGGGTGAAGTAGCTCCGGCAGGAGCGGTGGGTGAGGAGGGGACGGGCATCGGTCGTGCTTGTGGGTAGGAGGAGAAGGAAAAAGATGCCGATGAAGATGGTTATGAGGCCTTCGACTGTAAGAGGCCAGTATGCGGTGAATAGAGGAGATAGAGGAGGGGATGCTACCAACTTCTGACCAAAGAAAAACAAGGTGACCCGGGAACTCAGCTCTTTCTTCTTGTACCAGGTCGACAGGTAGAACAAAGCCCCGAGGATGTATCCGCCCTCTAGCAGGCTAAGGAGTAGTCGCGTGGCGAGGAACGAGGCGTAGTTCGGCACCAACGCCTGGAAGGTGGCCACGAAGCCCCAGGCGAGCAGCTGGAAGGATCTCGGTGAGCACGATTCCGGCGGACAGCAGCTGTGAGCCGACGTTGATCTGGTTGGTGGTGATGGTGAGGTCTGAGGTGATTGTCGAGGTCAACACCGTGCTGATGTTTCCACAGTCGAGCTGCAGAGCGAAAAACGCGCGGCCTAAGATGGGCAGGAGCATGGAATCGATCCTATGTTAGAGTGGGCAAACATGTAATATAGGGTTGTGAGGGCAGGAGTGCTGGCTAGTGCTTACTTGCGACGGACACGTCATTCTTCCGATTGAGTCCATTGTGATCTGCTAGGGTCAAGCTCCAACACCTCTCCATCCAGGCTTTTCCCAGCGATCTCGAACATCGTGCAGGGAAAAAGTGCTGTGATAACACCTTGGTGGAATTAGGGAAGAATGTCAAGTGATGATGACTGGAGTCAGGAGGAGAGCAGCTTCCACCCTCCGTTTATATGTTCATAGATTCGACTTAGGGCTATTGCACCATCAGCCACCCAGATGAGCAGGCGTGAGACAACGCTCGTCTTGTCTAGCTAAACTCCGTGTACACGGCGAAAGATGGCATGGCAACAGACGGATAAGTACGCTTGAACGAGAGCATATCCATTGCCGATGACACCATCAGATAGATGCTACGAGACGCGAACAAGTTTACTCGGCAGCTGCGTACATTATCTATCTACAGATCACCCAGTGAGCCAGCCACAAGTGGTATTCCGGCGGCGAACCAAGGGGAACCCACTCTTCTACATCTTATATTATCTACCTCATCGCGCTGACCTCTAATGACCTCATCACAGCTCCAGTCTAATATGGTCGCTCGAATACTGGCCATTGCTACCAGCATTCGCAGACTCCCAAGGATAAAACGCATCATCCTGCACATTGACCGCGCTACTCCTTCCGAGCGACCGGCCTCTGGAGTCCAAGGCTTCAGCCAGAACACGCACCGACTCCTCGCCGACCAGAGACGCAGCGACCTGCGCCGTGAAAACAGTCTCGAATCCCGTCCGTTTCGCCTTTCCGATCGACTTGACAACCTGGCCGTTTTTCTCCTGCGAGACTAAATAGAATTGCCACGTGCGTGTCTCGGTATCGCCATTCCAGGACACATACTCAGTCAATCTACCCTGCTGGCTGCGCACCGCCAGGACCGCGGGCTCTTCAGGCGAGAAGCCGGTCCACTCGGCCCGAAACCCGCGGTAGCTCTGCACGTTCTTCGACGGCTCCGAATCCAGGTACGCATGGAAGAGCACCTCCCCGTCCTCGGCATACTCGGTCACCGCACCCGCCTGGCCCCAGTTGACGAAGACGTTTCCATTGGCCAGCAGCTGCACGTTGCCCTGGGACTTGGTGGACAGCGCGTCCGGGGGAGCGTATGTGCGCACCTCGGACGCCGTGCCGGCGGTGTGGTTGAGTTCCACGATGCGCGCCCGGGAGAACGAGCTCAGGGCATGGCCGGGGACGGTGTGCATCGCGTTGTCGAAAAAGGAGATCTGCTCGATGATGCCGTCGGCGGAGCGGTACCGGAAGCGCGCGTCGTGCTGGTGGGCGAATTGCACACTGTCAGGGATCTCAAAGTCGGAGCCTGCGCGCCCGCCCAGCTGCCAGATGATCTCGCCGTCCGTGCCGTTGATCTTGAAGATGGCCGCGTAGTTGCGCGCGGAGATCAGGTAGTTGCCCTCGTCGTCCTTGTCCACGCTGTTGATGTGGAAGTAGTTCCAGGCGTCGAAGGAGGAGCGTCCTCCGAATGGGCCGGTTTCTTCCAAGGGGAAATGGGTGTCTACTCGAGAGATTGGGTTAGTGTTGTATTATGCTGGTGGTGGCTAAGCTGGGGGTACTCACATTTGGGGCTGACGTGGTCATAGCTGTACCATTCAAAGAGAACTTGACCGGTGTGGATATCGAGCTCTATGTTTTGAGAAGTAAGTATATTAGCTTGTGAAGATCAGGGCGGAGACTGAAGCTCACCTTGAAACCCATTCGTCACAACCCACGTCTGATTCTCATCACCCCCGTAGGGTGAAAGATCGGTAGGGATTGCGACCGGTGTCTCAATCAGAACAGTCTCTCCCTCTAGTACCTGGAACTCATGGCACGAGACCAGTCGATGCGATCCTGCTCGGACCGTTTTGATGGCCTCGTAATGGTCGTCTAAGATGACATGATCCCCGTACATGCGGCCGTGCGGGGCATCGAGTCTCCCCTGAAAGGCACGCAGGCCAAGCCTTTCGTCGACCACGGTGGGCCCAAAGTCTGCCACCCACCCGGCTAGATAGCCGGTGGCCGACCAGACCAGATCTCCATCGTTGGTGAAGATGTACGCGCCGGGCTGCTCGGGACCGATACTGCCGACGTCGAACCCTAAGTACGGCGCGGTGAAGACGTAACCGGGAGCTGTAGAGGCGGCAGCGGAAACAGTGATGTTAAATTTGGGAGGAGATAGGTCTGGCCGTGATCTATACTGCCAGTCTGCAGTCGCCAAGCTAGCCAGCTGGCTACTTAATCAAGGTGAGAAGGACAATCTGAGAGCGAGTCATTGGGGGTATTGACATCAGACGGAGATGCAGGGGAATCAATGTGGCCGTCAGCACAAGTAGCAACAACAATTCATAAGGTACTTTATACTCTACGTCGACTGTATTCGTTCCTGATGTTCTCCATTTTGATGCCATTTCGGAGATAATCACGTCACACGGGCCGGCTCGGTACGGCAGCCGTCTTGGCACGGCATTCACTATAAAACTCCGTGTCCATCCCCTCATCGCTCGATTGCTGTCACCACTTGGTTGCTGCATGATGTCCCTAAGCACTACTACCTCTAGTTCTGTTCCTAATTGCCGCCCACGGGCCAAGCAAGCCTGTCTGCCTTGTCGCAAGAAGAAATCCAAATGTCCCGGCCAGAGACCCGTATGCGCGCACTGTGCGCGATTGCGCCAACCGTGCTCGTATGACGATCGTCGAGCAGTTAGCCTCAGTCTACACAAAAGTCAAGTAATATTACAGGAGTTGAGTGACGCGCAGCCCAGTCCTGCCACAGGCCGTGTTCCAGTAGCACTCGATCTCCCCCTCACTAGGCTAGCCCTGCCGCCCTGGGTCCAAGTCTCAGAGATCGCGCAATTGTACTTGCAATGGGTGGAGTCGCAGCCGTTCCCACTTTTCCATCATGACACCTTCCTCAACACTCTCCAGTCCCGGGATATGGGGCTCATCTACGCGTTGCTTGCGGTGGCGGGGCGCTTCTCGCCCCATCCGGAGCATCCTGGCGGAGAGGAGGTCTATGCCGGGTACAGGCAGATCGCTAATCGGCTGGTTATGGAGCATATCCTCAGCGGGGACGTGGCTATTTGGACGTTGCAGACTCTCGTCCTGCTTGCCACGGCTGCAGGGCTCGATGATGATATCCAGCACTTGCATTCCTACATATCACTGCTGGTGTCCTGGGCGAATGTAATACCCTGCTCGACAAGACCGGCTGGAAGGGCAGGGCTCGAGTACGACGACGAAGCTCTTCGATGCCGTTGGAGTATTATTCTCTTGCAGAAGTTCTACTTGACAGCCACACATCCTATGAGCGATGTCTTCACCGAAGATGCCCGCCTCAATGAGCAAGCGCCTCGACTTTTTCCCAGCAAAGTCAGCCCGACTCCTTCACCCGAGGAGTATCAGTACGCAGACCAAGGGATCGTGATGACGATCATCTATCTAAGTGAAGTCTGGTCCCAAGCACGATCATACGTCCGCAGCCGTGGACACGCCAACAACGGACCCCCGCCGTGGTCGTACAAGTCCGCATATTCCCAGCGGATGTCACTGCTGCTCCAGATCGGGGCCAACTTGCCTTCCTTCCATCGGTACGCAGTGGTCAATCCCGAGGCTCAGACCCTGGAAGACATCAACGCAGACCGAAGTACTGGGCGCCGTGGTTTCTCAGTCGGTTTCTGTACCACACCACCGTCTGCCTCTTGAACCACCCGCTCCTGGTCATGCTCTGTGCTCGAGAGAGGTGTCCCGTGCCGGAGATCCATCTGCAGCAGACCTCCTCCCTCATCTCCCACCACACACGCTGGATCTCCGACCTCTTGATTCTCCTCGAAGAGAAAGCCTTCAGGGTTACTGATCCCATCGTGGGGTACTGCGCTGCCATCGTGGCCACCATCGAGCTCCAGCTCCAATACACCGGGTCGACAGATGAGCGAGCAATTAAGAAGCAGCGGCTGCAGCGCTGCGTCGATATGGTCGACCAGCTGGGAGCGATTTGGCCCGCGCTGCGTAGACTCGTACGTTCTCCTCCTGGCCCCTATTCCATTTTTCTTCTTGCTTCCCCCGCTCTGCCCTCGCATAAGCAGTCTCTCAGGTACTGATTTGCTTTACGCATGGAAGTCCACCACCCTCCACCAACTCATCCACGACACCGCAACAGCCTACCAACAAAGCACCCAGCACAGCACGGACTTCCGCGTCCGACTGTCCGGCTTCTGGGAGGTTCTCGAGTTTCCCACCTCCATTGCTGCAACTACAACGGCAGCAACAACGACACCCCAAAGCCAGTCCCGCAGAAGCGACCACCAGCGCTCGTGCCAGCCATCATCTCAGCCATCCCAACAACAACCAGAAGAAGACCCCGGGCTCTCCCGACTCGAGTACCCCTACCGAGTGACGCGATCCCGCCAACAGACCGGGCAGAAACGTTACCCAGCCACAGAGCGAAACCCTGCTTCGCCCTCCGCCTCCGTTAACGCGACTATTGCCTTACCGACTGTGTACAACAATACCGGCTTCATCGCTATGCCGGATCCTCTAGCCCTATGCCCCACAGACCCGCTCTTCGGGCCGGAGTTCTTCGAGTTCGGTGCACAGATGGGTAGGGGGCATTTTTGATTATGTCTTGTTGGCTGGATCGTATCAGGCACGGTAACGGTTACGGAACACTCTGGGTTGGACTGGGTTTTGGGAGTGTGGTGCTTGGTCGTTGCTGTTTGTAGTTACATGAAGATCGATATAGAGTGGTGGACTCACTACAGGCGGTTGGTGAAATGTTGGCGTGTTGGAATTTATGATACCAATGTCCTTATTTGGATTTGAACAAGGGGTAAAGAGATATGTATGCGATTTTGAGTGAGGTAATCAAAGTGGTATACAATGAACGACTCGAATGATATGGACAGAGGGTAATTTATATCACCCTCCCCCCCTGAGAGCCATGCCTTGTGTGCTCTCTATCGGGTTACGAACGCCCCGTCGATCTTATCCAATCGAGCAACCGAAACCTCGTCACGTCAGTCAATTCACACGTGAAACATTCTCGGATCTCCCCACGGAATTCATCTCAATGTCGACCCTGGATTACGCGCCTCATGAGCAGGACGGATAAGCAGAGCGAGGCCATTGTCCACGTGATGACGGCCTAGGAGGGGTGGATAGAATCATCGCGGCTTCTGCTGCTTATCTCTGGGCTTTGAGTTGACGGTGAGAAGGTTTCATCAGGAGAGACAGGTTTGGCCATTTTGACTGAGTTGCAGGCCCAAGGTAACAAGGAAGACAGGCAACAAGGAAAGATGAAGATAAATAGTACCTGTTGGAAGCGGGAGGACCGGATGGAAAGGCCAATGGATCACGTGCATCTAGGGGTTTGAATCTACTCTTGTAACGTCTCCCCTATCGCATGCTTTGTAAAACGAAAACAAACTGCACTGGGCAGACTCTGCCTAGGCATAGAGCGGAGCGTGCGCTCCCTGGTATTTGGATTCACACGTTTTGCTCCACACACCTTTCGAGGACTACCGGTGTTTCCGGTAGACGTAAAGGAGAAATATACCAACTGGCAGCATCCCCAGTGAGAGAATCGCTGTTCTGGGCAACTTGAATTCGGCGTCCAACCAGTTCACTCCCTGCTTCGATCTACCATAGCTGACTTTCTCAATGTCCGCGAGAACCTAATCAGCCTTGGCGTATCGGGAGGTCCAGCACTGATGAATGATGTCTCCATATCGAATACCCTCCACCGGCGGAAAAATTCCTCGAGAGTAGTTTTGTGCAATTGTCTCCCAATCATCGTCACCGATTTCCTCATACGGGCGGTACCCGGCCACGATCTCGAAGATCAGACAGCCCAGGGCAAAGAGATCGGTCTGAGTGGATCGAGGGGACTCAGGAGACAGTCTATACCGGTCCTCTTCCGTGACCAGCGGCGGCATGTCGCCGATGCCCGAGCCGGCAAAGCCACACAGCTTGAGTGAGAGGTCATCCGCCACCAGGAAGTTGCGCGCGCTGATGTCTCCGTGGCTCACGGCGTGGCTGTGAATGAATTGCACGACGCGAACTGCATTCTGGATCCAGGTATCCTTGGTCGCATTGTCCACGTGCGCGTGGTTCTTGCGGATATGGTCTCGGAGATTACCATGGCGCATATAAGGGAAGCGGATGCCACTGTTGAAAAAGGGGGTTCACAGATGTGTAAGCGGCAGCATATCTAAAATTACGACCTGCGGATCTCACGGTTGAAATATCATGGTAGGTGAGTCAACTGGCGAACTGTTAGGTAGCACTTCCGTGCCGTACATTTCCGGATAGATGCCACCACTAACCAGGTTTACTGGTTCAGCAATGACCTTCATTCAGGATTCTTATCATAATGGGGATACAGACACGGATTTGGTATGCCTTAGCTAGGATTGAAGTAACAACAATTAAGATCGACTGGAGCCAATGTCACCCCCACAGATCGCTATGCGCGTCGTGCATCAAGCTTTTATCCTCAAGGCCTCTGCATTTTCAACAGGGTAAATCGGGCTATGCGGCGATCCCTTTTCCAGAGCGATGCGAGCTAGGGACTGGATCAACATGTGCATGAACATCGATCCTGCATGGCTTTCCTGCATTGCCACCAAAGCGCTCGTCAAAGAGAAACGTCGGCCAGAGTATATTCTTGAGCCGATATTTTTATGGCGCTTGCCGAGGCTGATGGTTGCTGGCTGAAACATTCTCATTAGCTCGGCGTAGAGGAAAGTCAGTAACACGGACCTCGGCGCGGTACCAACAATATGGACCGTATTGACCTGGAACCTATTACTCGGGAACCTAGAGTGTAGGTATCTTGCTATATTCTCGCTTGTGTCTCTCAGGCCCCGAGATAATTTTCGGCCCGTACTGAGGTTTTGAAAAATTTAGTACGTGAGTGCCATCAGACAAGGCTTCCTGAGTCCATAGCCCAGCTCATCAGTGATCATCGTAAAATGCAGTGTGAGAGCGATTACCTAGTGGACCTGGAAGCTGACAGTGGTATGACTTACTGATTGATTGCTATGAGCAGCCGGTACGATTCTGGCCCAGTGGCAGTGGAACAATGGAAGTGGTTCAAAACCGTGAGTCAATGCTCGGGAGTTACTGCGGGAGAGCAAGCTGACGTCTTGAAGATGTAGCGTCTTAGTTCTTAAGGAATGGTCTTTTTTTGACATGGGTAAACTGAGTTTTTGTCTTCACTTCTCGGATAGCGAGAAGGATATCTCGTGGTTAAGACCTGTGGGCACTGAGGTCCGCGTACACCACAACCAGATTCTATAGGCGCTGGCCCTCTCGTTTTATCTACCACACCCTCGATCGCTTTCTTGATCTGCACTTGTTCCTAGCAACCTGCGGGACATGGAAAATGAAGGTTGCATGTTCAATCATTAATGGCTGATCACCGTCATTACATCTGATCTGTGCGGTGTAGGACTCGAATTCTGTGTGATAGTATATCGGATAGGCATTGTGACTTGATACCGATTCATGAAAGTCATGGCTTTAGAAGAGATGAATATACCAATCTTTGATTACATGGCAGGGTAGAACCGCAGAGCAGCCAGCCACTAATCATCAAGCCAACGCAACGGGATTCTGACTATTGCATCTACCCCAACCACTAATCCTCAATTTCATTAACAATCACATCATCACTCAGCTCCTTCAGTTTGTTGATGCACTCCTCACTCAGAGGCCTGAAAGATACCGTCAGTCTCTGAAACAATCAATTCAGTGCTCACAGGCTTACGGGGGGTAGCAAGTCGGAGGTAGCGCTCGGTTGCAGATCCAGATGTCCTGGTCGGTATCATCTTGGATGATTCTGTTGTGGGTCTGGAATCAGCCGCATCAGAATGGTTGGATTCGAGGTTGACTTGCACTCACTTCCTCACATTGTCATCGTACTTGTCGTACGCCTCGATGCTCTTGTAGCTGTAGTAGATTCTCTATGTATGATCAGCGGGTGAGCTTGGAGCCTCCGAGGGCCGGCGGCTGTGTGGTTGACCTACCTTCTTATCAACCATTGTCTGTGATATGCCTTCCTTCTCCTGTGCAAGGAGGAAACTAATGCGAGTGGGTTACACGGCCCTTTTCTAATCTCGTTGTTCTCCTCCTCCACGGAATGAATTTCCGTCGGATTGTCATCCGGACCAAAACTGGTTGCGTGTCAATCTCTAAGAGAGGTTCCCGTCGATTCCAAATGGAGTCCCGACGATAAGGCTTTTTGGACATGTCGTCAATTGGCTTGGGGGGCTGAGTAAGTGATATTGCTAATGTATCGCTGTGAGATATCTTGCAGTCAGAATCTATTCGCGTGGCAACAGAGCAAAGGTTTATTCTACGCTATAACATAAAGATCCTACCTAGACTCCCTGTTACTGTGTGCAGTAGAGCCCGCGTGGAATTCATTCAAGCAGCGTGTTCTCCATAGCAGTAGCTAGTATGCTCTTCCGTGACCCTCCGATCACCCTTACTACGTACCCCTCATCAAGACGCATGTGAATCATACCCATAGAGCACTGTAGTGTCTACCCTCATCAATACATCACCAGACACAACATAATTCAGCAGTCTATCAAAATACCATTATGTACCCCCGCTACCTAGTATGCTGCTGCCTGAAGAGATGATCCGAACCTATCAGCCCCAATCCTTACGAGTCGTATCACTCAATTCTAGATAAACAAAGTCAGTAACCCGCTCCACACTCAGAGAACAATTCCAACCCCACCAAATAGATCAGGTTTCCGTCCTCATTCTTGATTCGATCGGCCAGGTACAAGCCCTGCAACTCCCGGTATTCCCCGCCGGCACCTTTCAGAAAGGCCGTCAGCCGGGGCCCCCGCTCGGTCTGTTCGAGTTCGATGTCGCGTGCGCTGTGGCTGAAGTCATGTCCGCCCCATTGGAAGCCTCCTGTTGTGGTTCGAGCTGTCAGTCTTCACTGATCCTTCCAGAGAATCTCAACTCAAATTATGTTTTGATTTCAACTCGGGGAAGGTGGATACTGGGTACAGCTGGACTGACCGTTCGCATTCCCGATGTGCCGATCCAAGGGAAACGTCCGTGCGACCATCTCGTTGTTGCGGCGGCGGACCTCGGCGTGGAGGATGGTGCGACCGTCCTCCTTGATGAGGTGGATGTTCTGGCAGGAGGTGTGGAAGGACATGTTGTTTGATATACAGTTCCAAAGGTGGAGGTGAAGGTATGTTGAAGCTGGGTCGAGGGGGGAAATGAGGAATCGTGGTGGACGGTCGCGGGGTTAGGGCTATATATGCGGGCGGAGATGTGGGTGTTGCGCATAGCTGCCCTTTGGGCGCTGCAAGGTGCATTCGACTGCAGTATGCAGGCTGCATGACGACATCTTGCTTCGCGGGTCGTGACCAGCGCGAATGGGGCACTGTTGTCCTTCGTATGATATGGAATGTCAGGTTGCGTTGCGTGGTGGGGTTCTGTGGGAATCGATTGCTTTTGTGAGGGCATAAGCGTTTACTACAGTATATTCACTGCCTTGCGGACAGTCTTTCTATAGCTTATCTTCATCGATAATGTTCTTTCTATTTTGACTAGCACACTCGGTGAATTATGCATCTTCTATGGAAATAGAAGACCTTCGCCAGTTGAAATAGACAGCCCCACGGCAGCTGGCCGATCACAATAAGAACCATACACTGTGTATTACCTACATTGATCGACGGGTGAAAGACGAGATCCGGGTGCATCAAAATAGTCATAGCTACCACGAGCCCAGCCTTGATAGTTCTTTAATGAGAAGAATTCAGTGCCAAAAAGATAGCCTATGGATCTGGATTAGACCTTTCACTTAGGATATATTGCACTGGAAACCCTTCTCCGGGGAGCCTCTGAGTATCGTATGAGAAGACAGAACAAGCAGCATTGAGCTCCTAAATAGTGACTCAACACTTAAGTTCCATACATAGCCCTGCTGGCTTCGACCATATCTCCACCAAAAGAACATCTCATCTAGGTATGCAAGCAAAGTATTCTTTTACCCAGAAGCCCAGTATCGAGAAGGTAAGTCCGAGGATCAGGGGTTGGCGGATTACCTTGCACGGCACAGTCTGTGGGGACCGGCAGGGCGAATGCTCTGATAATCGAATCACCCTGAGATCAAAGGTCGCGGACGAGGTTCTCAACTTCCGGGTCGAGCAGACACCGGGCTTCTGTACCCTCATTCCTGACAATACTCTTTGCCTAGGGATCTCTCGCTAGTTTGGAGAAGATTTGCCTCTACATTCAGCGTTTGGCTACCTATGAGCTGTCTGATGTTATAAATTTTGTGAAACGCATCCCACAGCAGCTGGAGGTACAAGAGAAATGGCCGTTGTCGGTACTGCTGGTTTTATTGAACGGTAAGTGGATGACTAGATTGTCTGTTGACTCAGCATAATTCTTGGGAGCCGTAACCCGTGTCGCTCACTCAGGTAAGTGAAAATCATGGATCCAAAGTCATTGAGGTATGGAGCAATAAGCTGCAGTTTAGGATGGAAGACTTGCTTGCTGGTAGTTGGTGAAATAAGATGGATGAGGTTTCCGAGGTGACCTGACAAGTGATTGTGCTGAAAAAAAAGGGAAAAAAAAAGACGTAAACAATGAAACAAAAAACGCAAAAAAGCAGAAAAATTGGAATGAATAAGAGACTGGGGAAGATGTTTGTTTGCCGATTCAAACATGATCGGATAAAGAATCCGAGATTCTAACGCGCCGGCACGCACCCGTGACTGGAAAAGAAAATTCAAAGTCGCGTCGGGCGACCTCCTTCCACCCTAGCAGAGATTGTTCAAATTGGTCTGGTTATGAGCAGAACCACTGAGCGATCAAATGTTACACATGCAAGCTCTTCTTTATGGAGCCCATCATCCCAGCCCCATCATTCCCGTTCTCTTCATCTTCTACTAGGCCCAAGGTTAGGACAGCCCGCCTCCGCAAGGGGTGGGAATCGTGCGGCGAGTGTCAGCGACAAAAGACAATAGTAACAATCCCTTGCTTTCTCATTGATCCCTAACCATGGTTAATATGACGATAGTGCCGATTTAGGGACGAGGCCGCTGCCTGCGAACGTTGTACCAAGCATCGACTCGCCTGTACCTTCCACACGGACCAAGACGGGCGACAGAGCTCGACCTCTCGGCGGAGATTTGAAGAAATGCGGGCGGAACGGGATACTCTGGTCGAGCTGTTCCAAGCTCTGAAGAACAGTTCAGACGCGGATATTGCGCCTTTGTTGGACCTCATTCGCAGCAAAGCAAGTCTTGCCGATATAAGACTGCATCTCGACAACGACAGATCTCAACATCGGCAACAGAGGTCCTCGCCTCCCAACGTGGAAGATAAATCTTCAACCCTGGTCGAGAATGCTGAACATGCAAATCAGTGATAAGATACGACTCGTGGCAGATCAATGTGCTTTGCGCATGATACAGCTTCCCATATCCCATGGTCCAAATGCAAGGAAGCACACCGGGAGGATGCCGAATGGCAAGGGCAGAACGTATCCGGCTCGATGAAATCACCCATAACACGAACTCAAAATCCAGGGAAAATTAATGCTTCAGCCCCTACGAGATAGATCCCACCGACCTTGTTCCTGACAGCAATTTCACGGGCACCATGACACTTCGAGATACGCGATGTATTATACCGAATCACGCTATAAATCTCTTCGAGCAGCAACCTAAAAGTAACTCGCCACCGGCTCCCCCAACACCTCCAAGCGCGGCGTGATCCCCAACCCGGGCGCTGTGGGCGCCGAGATCCTGCCATTGCGCACCTCAAACTCCCCATCCGCCGTCTTGAGCGCCACCATATCGCGACTCTCCAGGACACACCGCAGGGACCGCTCCGGCACGGTCTGACCGAGATGCACGATGGCCGCGAACGCAATATCCGACCCCGTGGTCTCCTGCACGCTGACCGTATACCCGGCCGCGAGGCAGATATCCCGCTGCCTGCGGCCGCGCGTCAACCCCCCGTTCTTGGAGATCTTCAAGCCGATGCCCTCGGCGGCGTCGTTCGCCACGAGCTGGATCACCGACGCATCGTCCGTGGCCAACTCATCGAAGATGATGGGCACGTCGGTCCGCCGCCGCAGCGAGAGGCACTCCCGCCACGTCGCGCAGGGGGCCTCGAGCACGAAGTCCAGCCCCGGCGGGACCAGCCGCAGCATCCGCAGCGCCATCTCCACCGTCAGCCCGCCGTTCGCATCGACGATGAAAAACTCCCCGGGTTGGCGATCTTGCAAGGAGGCGGTAATCCGCGCTGCGTCCGCGGCCGGATCATCGCCCGCGACCTTCACCGAGTGGCCCCGGTACCCCCGGGCGCGGTGGTCGGCGACGCGCTGCCGCATCTCGGCCGGCTCGCCCACGTGGATCGAGCTGATGACCGGCATGGGCGTGTTGGTGCGACCCCCGAGCAACTCGCAGACTGGCAGGCCGACCGATTTGCCGAAGATATCCCAGCAGGCGACGTCGAGGGCGGTCTTGGCATGTGCGTGGCCCACCAGCGCCGCGTCCATCGCCTCGTTGATGCGGTCGACCCGTCGTGGGTCGAGGCCGAGGAGGTGCGGGGCGAGCTCGGTGATGCCCGCGCGCACGCCGCGCGCGTGCGAGGCGATGTACGTCGCGCCGAAGGGGGTGCTTTCGCCCCAGCCCTCGAGGCCGGTGTTAGTGGTGAGGCGGACAATGGTCGCGTCGAAGCTGGTGTAGGTGCGGCCGCCGGAGAGGTGGTAGACGCCACCGGCGTAGGGGAGATCGACTTGGTAGACGTCGATGCGGGTGATTTCGAGGGTGGACATTTTGCTGGCCCAGCGGTGTGTAGTTGAAAGACGAGAAATCCGATGCGTGGCTTCGATGGTCCGGCCGATAGCCAGGAAAGACTGTCTCATATACCCTGACAGTGGTCAGGTGAGATATTGTGCATGTACCGTGTTCTTCATAAAGGGTCGTGGTCTCAGGGCTTGGCTGTGAAGATGAGTCGTGCGGTCTTGCAGCACCCAAAGGGCAGACAATCCGCCCATTTCTGGGGTTGCGAGTTATTTGCCCGTTTGGGATGCCTACGACCTTTGAAGCGTCTTCTTGATCTACTCGGCTAAATGCTGGTTGCTGGTCACTAAGCCGAGTGCAGTATCAAAGATGAGAGCCTGAGCTTATCTACTGCATTCCACATTGCCCCATCCAGTTTGATGGATGGATTTGTCGAGATTATTGGCCACGCCAGCCCAACATCATCTCGTTAGACCAGGTATTGCGGGGTAAATTCGACCAAGTGCCTATCATGCAGAGCGCCCTACAATGTCCAGAGTATCTCGAAAAAGGCAAAATTCGCCACCGCAGGTGCCTGTCAGTCTACTAGCTCAATCATCTCAATGCGAGTGGCCATCAACAACCCAGGAAAACACCTCCGTATCCGCAAATACCAAGACAATGCAGACAGCACCCGATACGAATCGATCTGTAGATCCTTTGCGATCAGAAAGCGTTTCTCAAACGACGTTCCAAAATATCCCCAATTGCCCCCACCTCTCACCCCTGTTCCAGACACGTTGATAACTGCAATCCAACCACCAGACCAAAACCCTAACCCCTCGAACTCCCCTCAAACCTCTCCCCCACCGCCTCACACCCCGCAAACCACCCAGGCCGATGCCGCGTAAAACACTCAATCTGCGGCCGGAAGATCTCCAATCTGCATCTCTGTCAACACCATACAAACTCAATCCAACCTCAATGAAAGAAACGCACCCATTAGGAATCAACGCCGGCCGCACCACAACAATCCCCCCGCCCTCGGTCGCGTGCGGGACTGTGTAGACGGTGCATCCGCACATCCCGCAGAAATACTTGTGCTTGGGGGCCCCGCTCGCAGTCTCGGTGATCGCGTAGGTGCGTAGCTGTCCTTGTGTGTCGTCGAGGGTGAATTGGGAGCGGGGGTAGCGTGCGGTCTGTGTTTTTAGAATGGGATTACCTTGGAGATTGGGAAAAAGGGGGTGGGGGGTTGATGGGTGTTAGGCGGACTCACGATCTGGCAGGGTCCCCCGGCACCGAGGGAGCAGTCGCGGCAGTAGCAGCAGTAGACTGCGGTGGGGGGGCCGGTGACGGTGAAGTGGATGGCGCGGCAGAGGCAGGTGCCTGTGTGGGATGTGGACGGGGTGGATGTGGACATGGCGGGTGGTGATTCGGGCTGTGGGTGAAGCTGAATGTGCGTTGGGAAATAGGGTTGAGTATGTGGGTGAAGTTATCTAACTTAGCCTGTTGATGTTAAGATAAGAGTATGCGTGCGGGGGTGGGAGGGGTGAGTGATATGAGAGGCTCAGCTTACGCGGGGATCTGCCTCATGCATCTGGCGCCCAGCTCTCATCCAATATACCTGATTTGGTTAGACAGGCAGGCAGGCCGATTTGCGGTAGGGCTTTCGGTGCTCTCACTGCATTGGAGATACGCGGGGTAGGCTTGCTTTTCTCCGAGGGGGAGGTAGCATCTTGAGGCTTTGTCCTGAGACCCTCGTTATCAAGATGACGGGTTTGCGGGGCAATTGAGAAATAATTGAAGATGTAATTGGCAAGTCTTACCCTCAAGTGCATTCATTGCTCTGCAGCTTGATGTTCATGCCTGTTGGATCATATTTCCGCCCAGTAGAGGTGCTAGGCTCCTAGTCAGTCGTGAAACGAGGAGTCTCCTAAGCCACTTAGAATGTTACTCCGTATATACGTCACCATGTCTGTGGTGACCAGGTGTCTCCTGACATGAAGCTGAAGCCAGAGCTATGACTTTGGTAGAAAATACCTCCTGCAAGGGAGCGTGCGAGTTGTTTGTTGTGGGGTGTATCAGCGGACAGATGGCCAAACATAGGGCTAGCCCAACGAGCAGCGCAGATGGGAACATTATCGCTTTTCTAACGCCCATCTCCCACCCAAGATATTACAAACGTATCCACCCCAAGGACCACAAGCACATCTAACAATGTTCCACCTCAAGCCCCCAATCAGACAAAGCAACTCTCACCCCTCAACCCTACTCCCCCTCCCCCTCCGCCACACCAACCCCACCACCTCCTCCCAGAACCCAGCCATCGGCCCCTCGAAGCTCGCCTCATACGCATCCACCGCCGGCGCCTCCCACACCAAATCCACCTCTTCCGGTTGGAGCAGCGTAGTCCCCTTCGCCCACTTCCACCCGAAAAACAGCACTGGCGCCACCAGCTGCATGGTATAGTTCTCAAAGAAGGCCTGCACATCCCACGGCGCGAACGCCGTATAGCCGTACCCGAGCAGCACGAACGCCATCGCCACCAGCCCGACCCACGCGCAGTACGGCTGGCCCCACCCGACATACGGCAAGGTCGCGCGGTCGAGGCCTTGCACCTGGCACGCGCGGTAGAATTGCAGGTAGGTGATGCACATGACCAAGAAATCGATCAAGGCGCCCGCCGTCATGAGCGAGACGAGCAGGTTGAGCACCCTGGCGGAGTTGTTGGACAGCTGGAGGAAGGAGAGGAAGGGAAAGCAGATGACGACGCCGAAGGCGTAGACGGGCACGCCGTTGCGGGTCTTGGTGAGCAGGCGGGGCGCGCGGCCCTCGAGGGCGAGGCCGTATAGGGAGCGCGTGGCGCAGTAGGTGAGGGTGTTGCCCGCGGAGAAGATGGAGGTGATCAGGAGGGCATTCACGAGGTGCGGGAGCCCCGTGATCTGGAGGTTGGCCATCGCGATCACGTACGGCGAGGCGGCGGCCCCGCTGGCGCGGCTCTGGCCGTGCAGGATGGCTTGGAGGGTCGGGTCCGTCCAGGGCACGACGATGCCGACGCAGGTCGCGCCGAGCACGAAGAACAGCCCGAAGCGCCAGTAGATGGTCTTGAAGGCGGCCTTGACCACGGTGCGCGGCCGCTGCGCCTCCGCCGCCGACATGGAGATGTACTCCGGTCCCACGATGGTGAAGGCTGCCGACCAGAGGGCGGCCAGGAAGCCCTCAAATTGCCCGGTCTTTCCGGGATGGCGGTATTCGGCGAACGCGCTGGGGTGGCGCCAGTGCCGGAAGCCGTAGGCGTCGTGCTGCGGGTTGCCGCCCACCATGGTGATGAAGGTGAAGAAGATGAGGGTGAAGATCAGCAGGATCTTGCCGCTCGAGAGCCAGAATTCGGCCTCGCCGTAGGCGCGCACCGCGAGGAAGTTGATCACGCTGTGGCAGGGGTTAGTTTCTGGCTTGTAGGGGTTGGGGGTAGGTATGCTGATCGTAGTGAGTTAGTAGCAGTTTGTGGAGGCTTCTGGGCGTACGTGTAAAGAGCAATGCAGGCGGCGCAGACCGCCGCCACGGGAATGTCGTCCCGCCAATACCCCAGCACCAGGTTGATGGCGGTGATCTCGTAGGGGATCATCAGCGCCTCGTAGAAGAAGAAGTTCCAGCCCACCATGAACCCCAGGGCGTCGTCGACCCATTTCCCGGCGAGCCGGATGAAGCCGCCGGACACGGGCTGCAGGACCGTCATCTCCGCTACGCAGTTGTTGATACACGCGATTACGAGCGCATACAGGGTGTAGGCCACCAGCAGGCTGCCGGGGCCCCCGGCGGCGAGCCCGTTGCCGATGCTGATGAACAGGGCGGTGCCTATCGATCCACCGATGGCGAGGAGTTGGGTCTGGCGGTTGTTCAGTCGGCGCTGAAGGCCTTGTGGCGCGAGGGGCTCCACGGGGCAGGACTGCACGTCGGCCTCGACGGCTTCCTCTAGTTTGCGGTCTATCTTGTCTTCTGACATTGTGCTGCGTGGGGTGGTTTTGGTTTGATGGGACTGGGTGCGGAGGACTCAGATAGGAGGGGCACGAGAAACCCTTGCGCATAGCGGAGGAAGTTTACAGCATTATAAACTGCTTCAAGACCGGTCTGTATAGATTTTGGGACGCCACAGATAAATTCGGAGATAGGCATATGCAAGGAGCATCTGGAGTGGGGATGCATGCCGCAAACGGCGAGGCTAGACCATCCCGAGATGGCTCTCATTTTACATACCGCAATAGGAATTGTCCTGCACGGTTGGCTGTCAAGTGAGATAACCTTGCTATCTTCGAGATATCGAATTAGATCACTATTTCCAGTATGTTATCCGCCGATTGCAAGTGTTGTGCAGAAAGATAAGTCGAGTGATTGGTGAGATGAATCTACCTTGTCCCTCCTGGGGCGGATCTCATTACCCGATCGGCCTTAGCCCTAATTTGATGCCATTCATTCCCCGAATCCCCACCAAGATTCCCACGGTTCTCCACTCTGGCAGAGAAGCATCAGGAATTCTGGGGAAATGCGTTCTGCCATCGGAATGACGTGCAAACAGCTCCACACCTTCCTTGACCCTGTTTAATTCCGTCCCACATCCATGCGGGGGCATCAACCCCCCCTGACCATAAATCCTCGCCCCCACCCTCCCCTCTCACACTTCACTCTCAACCACTTCACAACACCTCACAAACCCCCTAATACCAACCGCCAAAGATGCCCCCCACCCTCCCAACAACCCGCCGCGCCTTCCGCCGAACAGACGACTACACCCCGGGCACACCCAAACTCTACGCAGTCGACGAACCCCTCACGCCCCTGGGCCCCACCTCGGTGCTGATCAAAATCCACGCCATCGCCCTGAACTACCGGGACGCCAACATCGCCAACGGCGGAAACCCGTGGCCCGTCCTCCCGCACGGGATCCTATGTAACGACGCCGCAGGGGAAGTCCTCGCGGCCGGCGAGAAGGTCACCAGCCTGGCCGTCGGCGACCGCGTCGCCCCCATCATCGACACGCAGTTCGTGTCCGGCCGGGAGCTGGGCCGGAGCTGGCTCGCGGCCGACGAGGACGGGGTCATGGCGGACCACGTCGTCTTCGACGAGAGGGTGGTCGTCAAGCTTCCGACGTATCTCGACTGGAGCAGCGCCGCGACGATCCCCTGCGCGGGCGTCACGGCGTGGTCCGCGCTCAAGGGGATGAGTATCGGGCAGACGGTGCTGATTCAGGGTCTGCCTTTCTTGGTTATTGTCTTTTTGGAGAGTGCTGCGCTAACGGATAAATGGGCGGCAGGGACCGGCGGCGTGAGTGTGTTTGCGCTGAAGCTTGCGCGCGCGGCGGGCCTGCGCGTGATCTTGACCTCGTCGAGCGATGAGAAGCTGGCGGCCATGCAGAAGAAGTATGCGGAGCCGCCGTTGTTGACGGTCAATTACTCCAAGACTCCGGCGTGGGAGGAGGAGGTGCTGCGGTTGACGGACGGGGTGGGCGTGGACATTGTGGTCGAGAACGGGGGCACGCCGTCGCTCGTGCGGTCGATGAAGTGCACGCGGCGCGGCGGGGTCGTCAGCCAGGTCGGGTATCTGGGGAAGCAGAATGGGCAGGATCTGGCGGAGTTGGTGCCGGTCATTATCGATCGGCGGGTCGTCTTGAGGTAAGCTTGATCTTTGGGTGGAGTGCGTGAGTCGGGAGCGATTGGCTAATTCGTGTGTCAGGGGTATCAATGCGGGCTCGAAGTTTGATACGGAGGACTTCTGTGCGGCGCTGGCGGCGACGCAGACTCGATTAGATGATTTGATTGACTCGGTGTTTCCGTTTGAGAAGGCGGAGGAAGCGGTCGAGTATGTCTGGCAGGGGAAGCAGGTGGGGAAGATTGTGCTTCAGCTGTAGAGTTAGGGCTATTGGCCGGGATGAAGTCAGGGAAGATGAATGGAATGCCATCGCTTGTATGCGGGTCTTGCTAGTCACCAGTAAGACTAGTATCGATGCTCAGTTGTTGTATCAGTCTTGAGAACGGACTTGCGACAAGGCAAGGTGTTCAGAATCTATCCAAGCTGCTAGTAATTTAGAGCTTAAGCAGGGAGGAGTGGGGCCCAGGGTGGTTTTGTGCACGAATTGTAGGCCTAATTACACTAAGACGTTTATTAATCATAAGGTATTGCGGTACAATGTTCTCCCCAAGCTTTCAGCTTGATAATACTCTTCAATAACTATGGTTGGCTACTTGCTTGCTGACAACAATATCTTGTTTTAGGCACTATAGGAGCGATTCCACCTGTAGATGATAAGCTTGTTCTAGCTCGATCCTTCCGCCACGGGGCAGTGCAGGATCAAAGCTACAACAATGCGCATACATCATCACGCTTTCAACATCTTCCAAGATGTTGATAGTGATGCTTAAATCCGAAGTGACCCCCTATCGCAATTGTCCCACACTTGCTATCAGATCACTAGAACAAGATCGTTGACTATGAAGCTCACTGGGAAGGCTCATAACCGCATAGAGCGCTGTGAAGATTCCTACATGGAAGATCCGATCCGCCTTCTCCTTGATCCCAATTCCAATGCGACGGACTAACTAACCGTGCTGACGCCATGTCAGACCGAGTTAAATGGACCGACCCTCATCCTGGTCTATACCAGAGACTGCTAAGATCACGACTAAAGCCATCATGTGACTCATTTCCATGTATAACTTCTGCCTGGACCGCAACAACCATGCATCCCAACCATCCACTTCTCCATCTCCCCCCATAGCAACCATGACCCTCCCCCCCAGACTCATAATTCTGCTCTTAACAGCCCTATCCCCCATCATCATCCACCTCCTCACGAGAATCCACCGCACCCTCCGCCACCGCCACTTCTCCCGACAATATGGGTGCCGCCCCATCACGCAGTCCTTCAACCGCGACCCGTTCTTAGGGCTAGACACCCTCCCCAGCACCATCCGCGCCATCCGCGCGCACCGCATCCTAGTACGGGGCTGCGAGCTCTTCGCACGGTACGGGCGCACCTTCACCACGCGCGAGCTGCAGCACCGGATCATCCTGACCATCGAGCCCGAGAACATCAAGACCATCCTGTCCATCAACTTCCAGGACTACGGGCTCGGCCACCGCACCGAGCCCTTCCGCCCGCTGCTGGGCCAGGGCATCTTCAACAGCGATGGCGCGCACTGGGCGGCCTCGCGCGCCCTGCTCCGCCCCAGCTTCGCGCGGGACCAGGTCGTCGCCGACCTCGCCGCGCTGGAGGAGCTCATCCAGGATCTGTGGACTGTGTTGCCGCGGGACGGGGCTACCGTCGACCTGCAGGAGTGGTTTTTCAAGTATACGATCGACTCTGCGACGGGGTTCTTGTTCGGGGAGTCGGTGCATACGCTCCGCACGCCGGTGGGTCAGACCCGAAAAGAGGGGGTCGGCTTTGCGGAGGCGTTCCAGTATGCCCAGAAGGCGGTGCTGGTGCGGGGTACGCTGGGTTGGTTGAATGCGTTCTACCGCGATCGCAAGGCGGAAAAGTGTAACCGACGCTGTCGGGATTTCGTGCGCGTGTTTGTGGACGAGGCGGTGCGTGCGGTGGAGATGCGCAAGACTGGTGACGATCAGGTGGACGTGGACGCGGTGGAAGGGGAAAAGCCCAAGGGCAAGCGCATCTTCTCGCACGAGCTGGCGGCGCGGACGGCGGATAAAGAGCGCATTCTGGACGAGCTGATGGCCGTGCTGCTGGCCGGACAGGATACCACGGCCAGTCTGCTGGGGAATCTGTTCTTCATGCTCGCGAAGAGCCCCGCGATCTGGGCGAGGCTGCGCCGCGAGGTGGGGTGCTTGCAGGGTCGTCCGCCGAATTATGAGGAGTTGCAGGGGTTGAGGTTTGTGGAGTGCTGTATTAAGGAGTGTATGTTCACTATCCCCTGATCCCCTCTTGCGTACAGTGTGGTACTAAGGAAAGAATGCCCCAGCCCTCCGTCTCCACCCCGTCGTCCCCCGCAACCAACGCGAGGCGATCCGCGACACCGTCCTCCCCCTCGGCGGCGGCGACGACGGCCTCTCCCCCGCGTTCGTGCCCAAGGGCACGCTCGTCGCCTACAACCTCTACGCCATGCACCGTCGGGCCGATCTCTACGGGGATGATGCCGACGACTTCCGCCCCGAGCGCTGGGAGGACGGCAAGTTGCAGCTGCGGCTGCGCTGGGGCTATCTGCCATTCAACGGCGGGCCGCGGATCTGCATCGGGCAGCGGTACGCGTTGACCGAGGCGAGCTACGTGCTGGTTCGCATGGTGCAAGAGTTCCGTGGACTGGAGAGTCGGGATCCCGGGCCGTGGGAGGAGAGTCGGGGCCTCACGCTGTGTTCGCGCAATGGGACGCGCGTGGGGCTGATTCGTTGATTTGGGTTCGTGTTATTGCCGCCGTAGCGTATGTCGCATTGTTCTAGGCTTCATCTTCTCTATGGTTGATGCAATTCGGCTTGATCTCTCGAGACATGGGTATGTGAGTCCAGCGGGCTGAGCAGTTGAAGGCATGGTATAGTTGTATGTACACTGGTGGATTTGGGATCCGCAGCGAGCGACTGTAATCCAGAAAGTTATGGTAGGGTACAAGTCACATTGCTCTAAGCAAATTACATGCGTAAGCCTCTTTCAGGTAATGAGAAGGGTGAGGAGAATGGTCAGTGTGAGGACAGACAGAAGGGGGCTGAGAGTGTATCTTTCGAAAAGCAGAGCACAGAATCCGAGAAGTAGGATTTGACACTAGGAAAGAATATGGACTGACTCACTGCAACGTGGTAGACGTATGTGTTGATATCGAGTGAGGTGTTGTTACCACTGACAATACATCAAAGCGAGATAGATCCTTACATATATCCAAACCCCCTTTGAAAACCACGCATAGCACAATAAGCCCCCGACAGCTCTAGCCCTAACTCAGACTCCACCAGCAACCCTCTGCACCAACTCCTCCACCTCCTCGGACCCCCACTCCCTCACCCCCAACAACCCATTATCATCCCTCTCCCACGGATACGCCAACTCCCGCGTAGCGATACAATACTGAATCTGCACCTCAAACGTCGCAGCCGTCACCTCCCTCCCCTCCCTGAGGTCTGCCAACGCCCCCTCCACCAACCCCCGCATATCCCTCTCCCTCGTCTCCTCCCACCCCTCCACCCCCAGCACCTTCTTCACCACCCCGACCAACTGACTCTGCGACAAATACACCGAGTGCACATACACCGCCCGATTCCGCGTCTCCTGCGGGTGCAGCAGCACCGCCGCCGTGGCGCGGCCCACGTCCTCCAGCGTCGTCCAGGGGACGACGTTGTCCCCGGTGCCGAAGATTCGGACTTTTCGGCGGGGAAAGTCCAGACCTGCGAAGCCAGACCTCAGAGCCCAGTCTAGGAAGACTCCGCAGGCGACGACGGTGTAGGTTAGTGTGGATGCGGCGGCGTGGCGTTGCACGGCTTCGTAGGCGGCCTTTTTGCGGGCGAAAACGGGGAGCGCGTGGATTCCTGGGTTGGTGGGGTCGAGGCCGAAGTCGCTTGTTATGCTGTGCGCAAAGATGAGGGGCGTTCTGGTTAGTTGGGGAAGCTTGATGAAGAGGGTAGAAGGGGAAAGGTGAAGGGTAGGGACGAACAAGCGAGAGACGCCGGCTGCGGCGGCGGCGTCGATGAGACGGAGCGGAGTGTCGATGTCCGGGGAAAAGGTCGTGTCGATCACGGCGTCTTGGCCGGCTAGGGCTGCGGTGAGGGAGGCGGGAGAGGCGAAGTCGACCTGCTTAACGGTGGCTGCTGCGGGGAAGGTGGTTGCGGTTGCAGGCTTGCGGGTGAGGATGGTCACGGTGAAGTCCTGGGCGAGCAGGGCGTGAAGAACTTGGCTGCCTACCTTGCCGCTTGCCTGGGGCTTGTTAGCTTGAGCTTTGGTTGGGGGGTGGCTCGGGGGAGTTAGGGCTTACTCCTGCGAGGGCCACGGTCTTGATTGAGGACATTTTTTCGGGTTGTTAGTAGTCTTTGTGTGTTGACGAGCTTGACGAGCTTGGAGATGGATGGGCAACGGGTTGAGCTGGCAATATTTAAACATTCCCGGTTTGCGGACATGGCCGGAGATCGAGGGTCACAAGGCAGACAGCCCCGGTCTCCGGGCTAATGCCGGCAATGTAACACTTTTCCAGCTATTTCCGCGATTCTCAGGGTCTTTGGCTTGTTCTATATAGGTCAAGCCACACGCCAGGGGATGGAGACCAGGCAGCCAGTTGTTGCCGCAGGTGAGTGATCGGATGTCAGATTTTAGTGAGACATCTAGATCATGGCATCATGTTCCTTTGCGTCGTTCCTACTCCACCCCCTCTGAGAACCCTCCAGGAACACTGGACAATCCTATCACCCTGTTCCGCATATTCTCGCATACCAAGAGCCTATCTCTCAGCTCACGACTGCCCCGGCAACTTCCTCATGTAGATCTCGCTGGCCAGACTTCCACCACCGCTACAACACCCCACTCCCCAATCCCAAACCTCTCTGGAGCACGTCGACAATTCATCCCACTCCCCCCAATAATCACATTCCCCGGTCGATACTCAGAATCTGCCTTCATGCGCCTAATCGTCGAGCCATGGAACTTCGCATCCAACGGCGTATCGCGCGGGGCCCCGCGGTGCGGCGGCCAGTGGACCAGCGCCCACCTCCCATCCTTCTGCATCGCTGCCCGCCGTATAGGAATCCACTCCATGAACCGCCACAGCCAGGCCGTACTCCGCGAGACCCCGTCCCCAGCATCTAGCGACGAATGCAGTAGTCCCTGCGTGCAGGAGTCGACCAGCGCAGCCTGGAATGGCGACGACGACGACGACGACACCCCCAGCTCCTCCTCCAGACACCCCATCGCTTTCATCTTCTCGCGATCCAAGCGCAGCCCAGCCCGCTGCGCCTCCCGCACCATCCAGACAAGCGGAACGTGGCTGATCTGCGTGCGCTCCCGCGGTCCACGCTGGAACCCGCCCCCAATATCAGCGTGGTTGCCGGGGAACCAGACTTCCTCGAAATCTTGGGCGTCATCATCATCACCACCAACACCACCATGCCACAGCTCATCTAACACTCTCTCAGCCCTCTGCCCCCTTTCCCCCCTCCCATAAATCCCCAAAAGCACAGGCTGAAACTTCACCCTCCGTTCATCGATACTAACCGCATGCCTCACCACCCTCGCATTCGACCTCCCGTCATTGACCACCTCAAACTCCGCCACACTATTGACCGTATCGAACAGCCCCAGAAACCTCGCCGGCCGAACAGGCCGACACAACGTCTCCCGACAGTGCCTTAGATACGTCGCAGCCCTCTCCTGCGCTTCAGCCGTCTGATACCGCGTCAGCTTCAACTGCGAGAACGCCTCCCACACCAAGGGGATCATCTCCTCGTTGTCCGGGCCCAACAGGCCCGCCGCGTCCAGCATCTCCGCCAGAAACAGCGCCGTGTAGGCGCCGCGCGAGAAGCCGAAAATGTAGATGTCCGTGGCGGTGCGGTAGTGGCGCATGAGGAAGCGGTAGCCGCCCAGCACGTGCTGGTCGAAGGTGTGGCCCAGCGCTTGGCTGAGGGTTTTGCTCTTGCCTTGGGTTAGGGTCTTGTGGAGTTGGGTGGCGGCGAGGGCACTGGGGGTGATGGTGGTGCCGATTCCTGCTTTTCGGGGGTTAGGCTTTCTACCTGGGGAGGGGGGAGGGTGGGAGCCTACGTTGGTAGCAGACCACTACACATTACAATTCTATTAGCTTTGCGGTCACGTCACAACAAAATCTCAACCGGGGGGGGAGCGTACGCTGATCATCCCCGCGCTGCAACATCCGGCAGATTCGTAGGATGTTGGTTTCTGTGCCATCGGCCCGGAAGGTGTTGCCTGTGCCGTCGAAACACAGCACGAACTGGCTTCTAGTCGTGGAGGGTTCGTTCTTGGTTTCCATTTGCGATGATAGAATTGACGAGAACTTCGCTTAGCACCGCTGCTGCGCTGGGGAGGGAGGGAGGGAGAGTTCGATCTAAAGTATGTGTGACGAGAGACGATCATCGTTCGCGAGCCCCCTCCCCACTGTCAATCCCTGCGGCTTTTGGTTAGGCCGATCTCCCGCCTGACTGGTTTATTGGTGTTTATTGTCGATTTGGATGCGCCGTGCGACTCGACAGTGGGGCAGCTAAAGGTGCTTTGGCTGAGGGATGGGGTGTTGATCACCTCGATAGCTAGCCGTCCCACTGCACGCGAGTGATCTGGAGTGGGTTGGTGTACTGCCTAGGGAGTCAATGGGTCTGTGCTGCTGCAGACTACATTCTTAGTATGACGCTCAGCACTGCACATTCTAAGCGATGAAGATCGATACATCAAGACATACAGCAGACCCCTGATTCCGAATCCTTCAACTCCCCTATTCTACGCGAATCGCAAAGGTATCCAGATGCTGCGTAACACACAGGGGAGTGGCTGAGAGAGAATCACTACACCCAGGCGAGCCCTACGTTGCCTTACAATCTAGGCATACTATCATCCTGAGCCCTACATCCAAACAAAATCCGCCAGGCGCCGTCCGCAGTGTAGTGCTTAACACATATATGCTGCACCTTACTGTCATCAACAACTACCACCTTTGGAATTATAGCCAGACATGCACGATATTAACCAACTGGTATGTATCAGTATAGATAAAAGAACCAACCCCCTCCCTCAACCTAAACCATAATACACCCAAATTCAGGCTAAATATAATCCCCATCCGGCTACAACTTGATTTCTTCACGACGACAGCATCTCAAAAGAAGCTGTATTAACAACAAAACAAAGACATAATCAAACTACAAACTAACACAGCCTTCAACATGATCGTCACACATCACAAGTAACCCCAAGAAAAGCAGAAAAGCGTATACTGGTATCGCCCGGCGAAACCAGTCAGTCCGCAAAGCCAATATAGATATGCCCACAGGTATTCACCACCCAAGAAAATCCTGTGCCACCGTTAGGGTTCATTCTTCACATTTTCTATTCTTTTCGCAAACTATCCAAGTAGAGAACACGTTGAACCTGTAAGTCTCTGATCTCTGCTACAGTACACTGTACCGCATTGCGTGAATGGCCCCACAGTTCCAGTCCCATAATCAAGCATCCAGAACAAATCCTCAACCCACGCACTCCACAGGAAACACAAAACCGCCCCAAAGATACCGGTGGCCTCCTCGACCAACCCATACATCAAGCGAGATCCTGCCACCAAGTCAGGCGCATGAGCCTCAGTACGGGACTTTCTCGATTAACCCACCACTGGGTCTCTAAAGACAAAGACACCACGATCCCTGCTGGAGGTATTCGCCTGGCTAGCTAATTCGGTACAGTAGAAGCCGGAATGACATTCTCCCTCTTCACTCGGACACCGCCTTTATTTCCTCTAGGAATACACAAAAAGGTACCTCTCCATCTAATCAACAAACAACGCGTCGGAAATCTCCCTTTTCAGCTCCCCAAAACAGCCGTCATCTACCTGCTAAGCCTATCCTCGAACAAGGAAATCTGCACCGAGGACTGGAGTATTTAAAGAACCAATAAGATGTCCTATTCCGTCCCCCTTTTCCACTATCATACCCCATCATCACCCTCAACCAAAAGCCCACGGGGATCGTGCGAACGCGTGACCTAATCTGAACATCCAAAAGCCAAGCAACGGTAAAGAACAATGTCCGACGACGACGAATCCAGCGCAAGCGGTGAATACCACGCTGAATACCACCCGCACCTGCGGGAGGCTGCAGCGTACACGGACGACGAAGTGACGCGGCGGGCGTTCGACGTGCGTCAAGTCCGCGGCGCGGACGCCGCCGGCCTCCGATGTTGCCTGCCCGAAGCGCAGCGCAGCTACCGGACGCCTTCAGACCAAGAGCAGTGTCCGATGTGCGATGCGAGCTGCCACCCGAACTGCCTGGACAAGCTGCGCAACGAGGAGATGCGCCGCGGCCGGCCGCTGGCGTACGGCTGCCCGCGGTGCGGCACCCTGTGGCGGACCGACGCCCAGACCACCGCCGCCGCCGAGCGGCAAAACCGGGCCAACGCGAACAGGATTCGGCCAACGGTCAAGCCGTATCGCTACCGGCGGGACCCCATCAGCGGGCGGTACGTCTGCACCTTCGCGCCGCCGTCCGCGGGCCAACCGTGCGGGTGGACCCGCAACACCAGGCACCAAATGCGCGTCCATCACAACCGGGCGCACGAGGACAACCCTGATCCGTCCTGTGACTGCGCCGGCGTCTCAGTCTTCGACACCGATGGCGAGGACAATATCAGCGCGGACCCGCCGCCCTGCCCCTGCCCCATTTGCGCGGAGCAGTACTATTGTCGCCATGCCGCCGCCGCGCATTGCCGGAAAGAGCATCGGAATAACTCCTGGCCTCCCAAGTGTCGAATTTGCCACACAATATTTGACAAATATCTGGACCTCATTGTGCATCTTACCTATGCGCACCAGAATCCTAGACCTTCTCAGTAAACAACTCAGATCCGGCATCATACCAGTGAGGTAAGCCAGCATTCCGTCTGTAGCCAACACCTCCCTTTTTCTTGGATTTCGGGCTGTATTGGTGAGTGGGTGGAGAAAGACAGAATCCCTACTGCACTTCAAATATCTCGGGAACTGCAACAGAGAAAAAAAAATAGAAATTAAGGGGCTGAACCCTGTATTAAAGTCGTTTCGTTTCATTAGTATAAAGTCCCGGATGAAGTCCCCACCATCTGCAAGATACAATTTGGTGGATTATTGCACAAGCGGCGAACGAGCTTGTATTCGTACCAGGAGATCAGATATCTTCTGTTGCGAGACTGCGCATTCGTGAGTCATGCAGGTAGACACTGGGACTTTTCGTGAGTGGCCATCTGCGAAGCAGTCGTTAGGTGTATATCACGTTCAAAATCATTGTAAAGCCCCTTCACATTACTGCTTTCATATAAATCTCAGTTTTTGGGTGGCAGTCACTAAAGCAGAGATCTCACTTGTTCACCTGAGAAGTCGTCATGCAGAATTGGCTGAGCACTGCATTCTCATCTTGTTTGGCGTTCATAGTTTTGGATCAACCTTTTGTTCAAGGCATGATGGCTCTAGCTAATCGTACATCAAAACTCCTCGATTTTTCCCTATTGCGGACCAAACTGCATTGTGCCGAGCCCCGCCTCATGCTTGACAGCCTCCAGCCACAAAGGATCATAATCCGCGAATGTTTGATCCAAAGGGTCATTCCCACCGTAGGAGAACTGACGAGCCACTTGTTGTAGCTTCTCATCCGTGGGACAGATGCCAGCGGCAGTTTGACGATGAATGTAATCTATCAGGGCGCGACGGAGATCTGTGTAGCGGTTGAAGGCATTGGGAACGCCGTTTCCGAGCAACATATGGGATAAGCCCAGTGTGTCCTCCTGTTCGGGGGCGCTGCCTCCCAGCAGCGCAATAGACGATTTCCATGGATCCATCGTGCGCCGTTCGTGGCCTAGAAGGTAGGGCGGCATGGCATTTTCAACCAACCGTTGCACTTCTGGCGCAAATCCCCAATCACCCTTCCACTCCGCCATATCGGCGCCATTCTTGAAATGAGCCCCAACATGATCCATACGCTCTTTCCAGGTCGCAAAGGTCGCGTCACAGAGCCCGCAGCGGGAGACAATGGTGCGCGATGTTCGCCATCCATCCATGATGCCGGAATGATATTCCGCACTGTGTGTGAGTTTCAAGTGTTGTCGTAGATGGTCTTTGCGGGAAAACGTCCGTTGCCCATCGGCTCTAGATTGGCAAGCAAAATAGTCGTGTCGGTCGAGAAGGTGGCCAGTTTCTGGGTTTGAAGCTTGACAGAACACACAGGTCCGGGTTCCCTCGAGAACGACGATGCCACCGTCGGGGGCGCACGTCCATAGGTCCACAGGCAAATGCAAAGCCTTTTCATGTCGCTCCCAGTCATATTTCGTGCGAAATGAGTCGGTGCAAAATGTGCACTGATATGGACGGTTTTCTATCGGTTGGCGATGTGATAGGAAATCGTTGGGACGTGAAGGCTTCTGACGACGACGATGGCGACGACGAGACAGAGATCGCTGACCAACCATGGGAGTTGGCGGTCGTCGCACGGGCTGGTAGTGTGCGTGGTGGCCAAACGAAGCGTCAGAGCTCGATGAATGACTATAACCCACCGTGCTGGTAGATGGAGCCCCAACAACGAACGAGTTGCTAGAACTATGGCTCGACCAGGCATACTGAGATGTCGGGGTGCCCGCACTTTCCTTATCATCATCCAGACGTTCTATGGTATCCAGAGCTCGCATGATGTCTGAGGTCGCGGCCGCCTCACTTCCTGGTGGGGAGTTCTTCCATCTCTCCATGGGTGATTGTAGAGAGAGATCAGCCGCTGGTGCCAGTTGTTCGACTGCCAGGGACGCACCTCCCCCGACCAAAGTGCGCCGTCGTGCATTGCTGAACCAGTCGGATATCTGAGCCCGGTCGAGCCCCGTCTGCTGCTGCAGGGCATCTTTCTCTTCTTTGGTGGGGTAGGGGTAATCTTGATGGCTGTGAAGCCATGACCGCAGGACAGTCACCGCTTCCTTCGACAGGCGCTGGTATTTTTTCTTCATTTCAGAACGACCTCGAGAAGAGCTGCGATGCTCTGCCGGGTGGGAAGAATTCGAAGCCGCAACAATGTGGGAATTATGGAGAAGCTGTCCTGCTTCCGGTGCGCTTTGCGCGAAGTCGGTGTCGCAGAAGAGCCCCCAGCATGAACAGGGTGAAGTCAGTGAAACATGCTCATAGCAGACCGGGCATATCTCGAATTGACCTTCCGGGGGCAGAGATGCTGCAGGGAAACTCGAGTCGGTATTTAGCAGTGACTCGCATAAGTGCAGGGATTCCTCGGACCCCATGGCGGGGACCGGGGGTTCTAGAGGCGGTAAGTCTAGAACATCAGAACAGTATTTAGGAGGGTCGTTAAGATCCTCCGCCATATGAAAGAAAAAAAGGAAAGGAAAGGAAGGGAGAATTAGAGATAGAGTTGGGCTGAGTTCGGACAAGGAAATGAGGGGAATTGCGATCGATGGTGATGGTAATGGTAATGATGATGATGATGATGATGATGGAGATAGAGAAATTGGCTGCGGGCAGCAAGTGAAAGGCGGAAGGCGCGAGTCTAGCCATTCCGCCCGCTCATAATGCAGTGGGGCTCCCGCGCCCTGTGTCACTCCATGGTGGAGATCTCCCGAATAGGTATAGTCCGATAGCCATCCTGCCAAGCAACCACATTACCCATGGAGATTCGCCTTGGAGGTCTTTGGAGGTCTTTGGAGGTCTTTGGAGGTGCATGGAGATGCTGAGCAGATAAAGTCCTTTAATCCGTATAACTTGGGGAAGGGAAGGCCACTATATATCTCAATCACAGCTACAAGCCGCCCGCTACAGCTTGTTAACCAGAGCCATCGAAATATATAGTCATCGTCCATACAAGCAATCTCCGAGAAGCCTACCTAACGCAGAGCACCATGACTGCTTCATTGTGCCCCCAAGCAATTGACATCATCCTCTCTCCCTACCACGTCGGCCTGCGCGACCACCGTGTCGGCAACGGACCCCACCGCATCCTCTCCCTCGGACTCGAGAAAGAACTCCACCGCCTGGGAGTCGCCTTCCATCTCATCGAAATCCCACCCGTCAACGAGTTCGAGGGCGAGATAGGGCGCAGCTTCGAGCTCCTGCGCCGGATCTCCACCGCCGTCAGCCAGTCGGTGGCCAGCCGCCGCTTCCCCCTGATCCTGTCGGGGAACTGCATGGCCAGTGCCGCGGTCGCCTGTGGGCTGCGAGTGGACGACGACCTGGCCTACATCTATTTCGACGCCCACGACGATCTGGACTCGCCGGATGTGAACGAAAACGGGTATCTAGATGCCATGGGCCTGTCCATGCTGCGTGGGGAGAGCTGGAAGACCTTGATGAACAGCGTGCCGGGGTTCAAGCCGGCGGAGTTCAATCGGCGGTTCCTGTATTGTGGGCTTCGAGATCAGACCGGTGTGCAGACGCAGCGGGTGATCGATGCGGGCATGCAGGCCATCTGGGGCAGCACGGAGAACAAAGTCGATTTTGCGAGGGAGTTGAAGACCCAGCTGGAGCAACGAGCGTACGGCCAGGTGTTGATTCATCTTGATCTGGATGTCTTGGATGACTCGTATGGAAAGGTCAATGACTATCCATCCCCAGGTGGCTTATTGGAATCGGACTTGATCGCTTGCATGGAACTGGTTCCGCAGAAGACTACCCCTCGGTCGCTGACCGTGTGTTCTTTTGATCCGGATGCGGGCGACGGTGACAAGATTGCTGGGATTGCAGTGCGGGCGATTATAGCCCTTGTTCAATCTCTCCTAGATACCGGAGCTTTATCCAAGATCTGAAGCGCGCATGCAGCCACAGCAAGTAATCAAGAGGCTTTCACCCAGACCCTTTCCACATATGCTTTCACCACAAGACAGAACTGGAATGGGAAGGATTTATACCTACGAACGAGAAGATGAAGCAGTCACTGTCAATATCCCAACAAAATCTTATATCATTGTCCAAATATATCATCCAAAAATTGTATCCAGGTAACAAACGCCAATAGTATAGAAAGACAATCATGTTAACATGGCATGAAAACACCAGAATTTCCACCGTGGTGTATATAAAGCGCCCAGCGTGATTGTACCAACATATAGAACAAAAAAAGTCCAGCTTTTCGTTAAGGGTTTCTTGGGAGCAGCCGTGAGGTGGATCATTGGCCAGGCCGTTCCTTGGCTGGGTAAGTATATTTTCAGCAGTTCAAGGGCATTTCATGTAGTCGTTGACCGCATGCAGGGTCATTCTTGTGCCTTGATGGTCATGTCATTGTACCGTAATATGAGTTTCAACGAACCCTCAAAAGCCATTATTCGTAACATCCGTAAAACATAAAGTTGTCAAAAAAGAGAGCGCAAGCTGCGCGCCGATTCGAATCATGAAGAGGTCACCTAAAATCAAGTTGAAAGGCTTTCCATTTGCCTCCGACCGTGCGACATCGAGGACAGCCGCGCGGGTGATTAGGATAGCTGGTCGGCCCATGCGACATGGCGCTGCCCGGGCTGGACGTCACATTCCGGAAGGACGCAGGGGGACTGCTGATGAACATCCCGACACACTCCCGGCAGACTCCGCAAATACATTCCGTGCAGGCATAGCATTCGCTCAATGCCCAAGGCCGCTTACAGCTGGCACAGTAGATCTGAATCTCTTTACTACGGTAAGAGGCCGGGGTGGGATTGGAGAACCGATGGTGCTGCCGTTGCGACGCCGACGGGAACATATTCAACACTGGGCTGGAATCCGAATTGATCGAAGGCGCAAGGTGACTGGAGAAGGAATGATTCTTGCCCGACGTCGACGAAGCCGAGTCAATTGACGACTCGATGGACGGAAATGGCTCCAAGTCACTGTCGCGGTTGCGATCAAACGGAGGCGGGGTCATGGACTTGTGCATGGGCGACGCGAAGGGGTGGGGGAAAGGCCGGTAGGGTGCAGGTGGGGGTAGTCCAGTGGGGGTTTGGAATGCAGGGGGTAGCGAAGAGCGGTTGCTGCCCGCAGGAGCCGAGGTGATGTTGGAGATGAGCGGGGGCATCGTAGGCGACCGGCCGACCTAGTAGGTGTGAGAAAGGTAACCTGAGAGAATCCCAAACCCGACTTACATCAGACTGGTGTTCGTCGTCTGCTTCTGTGGCAGAGGTAGCTGCCTCGATGAGGTCCTCCCAACGCTTGCCCTGCGCCCAGGCTGCAGTTTGTGGCTCGGCAGAGAGCGCCTTGCGATCTCCTAGACTCGGACGTCGTCCATATTCCTTCGATTTAGTGCGCTCGTGTTTCGGCTTGCGTGCCCCAGAGATCGACGACTTGCGAGACCGAGGCAGCTTGTCTCTGCGTTGGATTGGAGGCAACGTTGAAGAGCGCCCGGGCGGCGAGTGGGTCAGAATGGAAGGCAAAAGCTCTCGAGGGCGAGCCGCGGGGAATGGAGGCAATGACTCTTGTTTGAAATGCTCGCGCAGTGACGGCAATTCGACGGAGCGGATCCGGTCCCGGTCATTGTCTGATTGGTTTTCCTGAGACGGACCAGTCAATGTCTGATTTTTCGCGACCGCTTTTTCTCCCTGCTTAATCCGGCAAACGAGCAGTCTGTATAGCATACCATGTCTGTGTCCCAGTCAGATGCTAAGCGGTTGTGGTGCAATTGAGCCAAGGCGACGGCTGCGGTAGCGGCGGCCGGATGGGCTTCATCGATACCCCGCGGGGTTGCGGGGGAGCCAGCATCGGCAACATAAATGTCGCGATCAGCTAGATCTACTTCCCAGTCAGCTGCTGAATATTTCCAATGTATGTGCCCAAGAATATCAACCAACCATTGCGTCGTCGAGAAGTAGCGGGTTTCGGGGGGGACAGGTGAGCACGCTGGTCTGGTGGGGTTGTGACCATCAAGATAAAGCTCTCCTCGGTAGCCGGGAGCTTCGGAATGTAATGGTTGGGGTGAGCACGGCGAATGTGCTCCTGCATGGAGCGATAGCGCTTTTCCTGTGCGAAGAACAACTGGTTAGATGCGGCCATAGCAGTCTTCATTTATCCCAGCTCTTCCCTGTTACTCTAACTTCGCAGCAGCTGCCCCTCCTCAGTTTGCATGGCGCTTGCTGCCCACTGCATAAAAGTGGGGCCCCGATCGGCGGGGAGAGCGAGGAAGCACGGCGACGAAGAACACAAAGAGCTGGACGAAATGGAAACTCACCCCCAGGCATCTCTTGCGACAATTGGAACCATCATTGTTTTTCAGAGGGCAAACCACTTCGTTGTTGGCGTCAGTGACGGAGAACGAACTGGTTAAAGATGATCGGGGCGGCATGGTCTGCATGGATCCGTTTCGGGCGGCGGCGGCGTGGGGTGGGTTGGTCGGAAGGAGAGGATCAAGCACCAGCACACACCAGGCAAGGCACACAGGCTGTGATTTTCAGGGCAACGTCAATTCAATGCGAAAGATCTCCGCAAGGCGACATAAGTTGCTGCGACCAAAGAATAACACCAGCAGATCGTCCGCAGAAGAAGCTCGAGCAAGTCTAGTCAACTGGAGAGGCCGTGGATGATGGAAGAAAGAGAACAACGGAGGGCGGCGAAAGAAAGAAAAAAGAGTATTGCAACAGTATGAGTAATGGCCAAGCAGACGCCCTGCTAGACTACCACTTGATCTAGCTTCTATTTCCAAGACCAGTAAGTAGCACTGATAGCTGGAGCAACGGAGAATGGGGGTAGAAACTGATGCAATCGATCTCTCATAGAGCAGAAGCAGCAGCAGCAAGAAGAAGGAAATGATGGAGGAAGCAGTAGTTGTAGTAGTAGGAGTAGGCAAGCAGGTAAGGTAGTAAGTATTGGAAGCAGCACTACAAGCAGTGGCAGTGGAGGGGGGGAGAAAGTCAAGGAGCTTCACTTATCCACTAGGCCGAAAGCAGGCTAGTGGCACACAATCTGGACAATTGACAGGCAAAGGATTGGGGGAGAGCAAATATCCACTTTAAGCAAAAGGAGAAAGAGTCCAAAAAAGAAATTGGAAAAAAGAAGTAGGAAAGAAAAAAAAAGAAAATTGAGAAGGAAAGGCGAAAAAAGTGGAAACGGGGGGTATTGCAGCGGTACAGTCAGTAATCATACGTACAGTAAGTAATAAAAAGCTAAATTGAACAGGCGAAACAGCTGGCAAATGCTTTGCTAGCTACTAGGTAGCTAGTTACCTAGCTAGCAGAGCAAAGCAGTGCTTGCAATGGGCGCAATGCTGGTTTCTCCGACCGCGTGGCTCACAGAGCGCTTGTGTTCGCCGAGAGGGTGGTTGTCCAGGATTAATGAACAATCCAGAAAACCCACGGAGCCGGCGACAAGTGGAACAAAGAAGGTTCCCTTTCGGTGGATTTGTTGTCAAACCCTCGATAAAGGTGGGATAAGCGTCTCACAAATGCTCAGTCGGTGGCACGATAAGCATTCGAGTTCCGGACCGGGGGAAGGATAATCACAAGAAAGAAAGAGAAATAAGAGAAGGAGAAATCCAGAAGAGAAAGAGAGAGACGAAAGAGAACTCAGAAGAAATATTCATATACTAGTCACTACCTGATGTGTTGTTTCTGAATTATATCTAGCTTATAGCAAACCAAGACACATCCACACTCCATAGGAAGCTGCTGCTGCTGCTGCTGGGCGAGGTTTAAAGTGGGAACTACGATAAAAAAGCTCCAGCTGGATAAGCAGGAAGCTCCCTTCCTCATACTACGGTAGCAGCTCGGCGGCATCACTTCTCCTATAGTAGCTTGACTAGCTGACTGGAATCTCATCCGAGCCATACCCTGATGAGGCATTAATCTTGTTTTGTTATTATCGTCCTGGTAATGCCGGTCGTACAGCATGTGCCAACAACGATCCTGGTACTGAGTACTATGTATTACGATTTCCTCCCCGTCCGAGACTAGCTGGACGCCAGAGGGTATCTGATGCCGATAGCGCCTATCGATAAGTGTTGCTGTCGCAGCTAAGCTAAATGTGGGACAGCGCGATATCCGCACGCACGACATGGATGGATGGAGGAAGGACGGGGAGGATGAAGTTTCTGTCTCTCTTGTCGCGAAGATTACCAATTCCAAGCTGGGATGCTCGATCCGAAGTTTCGACCTTCTCCTGAATTGTTTTTTTTTGACTACTGTAGCGGCAGACAAAGGGAAGCAGTTGTTCTCCGACTCGAGCCGGGAAGGCCTTTACCTGCCTGGTAGTAAATGCGTGGGTGAGGGCAAGTTAAGTGATGTGACACTTAGACTTTTCTTGTAGCTCAGCCTCGGTCTTCGTGACCATTACCAGACCGTACCGGAGCTCAAGGATGAGCGGCAGGAACCCCTCTGAATGGCCTCTGCCGTTCCGATTCTGCCCATTTTCAAGCATTGGCAGTTGGCACAAGACATATACTTCATATATTTAGGTGAGTCGCAGAAGCACTAACTCACCACTCGTGATCCGTGCGATCTAACCCCAACGTTTTTTACTTTCGTCTTTTACAGTTTTGAAGCGAAGAGATTGAAGAGCCATGACTTTGTCCAGCTGGTCTGAAAATTCCACCAGCCATCGTCGGTCGACGGCCCGGTTACTTGGAACGGGTCTAGCGGAAATCAGCATACGGTACGGTACAGTACAGTAATCGCCGACCAGCAATTCGGGAATGCCGGTGGGACCCCCCCCCCCCCCTTCCTCACATTCTTGGGGTTTACGACAGCTGCTGCATAACCCAGCTCAGCTCTGGACCACTGGGCAGAGAGCATAACTCGGGATTCTGGAACCACGGGGGAAAGAGAGAGTAATCTTATCGAGGTCACCAACCACGAATAAGGTATCTAGTCGACATTCCATGGGGGTAGAGGGTTACAGGATTCCCTCTGACTTCCACGGAGAACTCCTGTTCAAGTCAAGTGTAGTTAGAGGCAACCCTACAGTACAGGGTACTAGGAGGTAGTTCCTTAATAGCAGTATGTACAGTACTACTAGGTGGTAGTTAGGTGTACTAAAAGGAAAAGCACTGCGTGGTTGGGTAAAGGATCAAATGGTGAACCGATAGGCTAAAAAAGGCCATGTGCTGCAACCTTAGCCTGGAGTACTTTTACCCCTCCCCTCGCAGGCTGAATCAATCCAATCAATCACATCTCCCCTCCTTCTTTCATCCTAGGTAAGTTCCCCTCTCTCCCCCTCCATCCCCCTCCCACACACATCCATCATCCATCCCTTCCAGGCTTCCGCTCTTTTCCCCCCAACACTAAAACCAGCTTACCACCCACACCCCCCTTCCCCCTCCCCGAAGCTCCCCAGGGGAGGGTAATCTAGTAAGGTGAGCTTCCCATGCACCTCAACCCAGAAGCTCACCCAGCTACGAGCTTTGTCTGGTAGCTGCCTAAGACCGAAACGGTTTAAGACGACACAAAACATGTAGGTAGTGGCAAACCCAGTTTAGCTCGAACGCCACTCCAGTTCCTTATTCCCGTCTCAGTGGGGCTCTCGAAACGGTACCTTAGCCCAGTGAAAAAAAAGAGAGAAACAAACACAAGCAAAAGATGAAGGATGAAAAATTTTCGTTCTTCTCGAAACACAAAATGGCCACCACTTCTTGCTGATCCCATGGATGCAGGGGGTTGTTGCCCCCTGGGCTTGGGGGGAGGATAACGTGAGCAACTACGTGGAAAGGTCCGAAATGTGTCCCTCCTCGGAAAAACATATATTTACATACAGGGTAGGACTTATGAGTACTTCCTTCCACGTACAGTATACATGTTCAGTACTTGTGCTTGTGCACAATTGACTACGGTCAAGGGACAAGTTCAACGGCCGAGAAAAGTAGCGGTCCCCCCCCCCCCCCCGGCCTCCTCCCTTCGGACTCACACTAAACTATCGCAATCTGCCTCGGTGAAAGTGGAGGTTGGGAATACATGCCCAATTCGCCATTTAAGCGAAAAAAAGAAACGGGTTTAATTGTGTATTTCCCGTGTTGGTTCGCTGGGTGCGACGGAGCTACTGGTGCTACTGCTACATAAATCATTGGAAGAGTGCATAGACACCTAGGAGTACACATAAAAGACAGGTCTTGTCATTCATTTGATCCCTGAATGGCCTTCCTGGTTCTGTTGTTCGGTCTTGCCTTAGTCCGAGTACGGGAGCTCGAACTCGGACTGTGGACAGTTGACACACGCGGGTAATCAATTCTTCCATCATCAAGAAATGGAACATGAGGAGATGATAGTATGAGGGGTAGGGGGCTTGCTTAGCTTGGACATAGTCGGTCGGAGTAAGACCTTGATCGATGTGGTAGGCCGTCTAGTCACGATTCGGGCGCTCAGAAGCATACGACACTTAATCTTATACATACTACCAGTATGTAGCAGTATTTGTCGTCGTCGTTGTTGTTGATGTGAGCTATGCTCTAAGCAGCACAGCCTACACGTATGAATTTGCAAGCAGATCCATCCCTCTCGGTTCACACCGACATCACCATCTACACTTGTGTTGTATTGCGAAAGGAAGAGCTATTCTTGGAAAAGCAATGCAATTGTCAGCCCGCACCAAAAGCATCGGGTGAGGGGCGCACTGATCGCCGCTAAAACGAGAGCACTACCGAGCTTCCCAAAGGGTAAGGTTAAGGATTACGTGGGACTGGCAAGGCCGCTGGTTCTGGTTTGCGTCGCATGGGCGGTCGGATGAGGTTCTGCTGGATCTCCCCCCGATCCTTGCATGCTTGCAGAGAACGCAGCGAATGCGATTTCTGGAGTTGTGTGCAGGATGATCCTCCCTCGCAGGAAATTTATGCATCACTACCAGTCAGCGAAGGACGAGCAAGTACCGAGTACTGTACCTCCAGCGAGCAACCTGCATGGTGGCGTCGAAATATCCCACGGTGCTGACACCTTCTCGAAATGGAAGAAAGACACAGAGACTCACAACTGCAGGCACTGCAGGGCAAGTCGCAGCTGGTCAGTTGCCTCTCCGGGCAAAAAGCAGGTGAAGAAAAGCAGCATGATTGGCAGGGCAATTTGATGGGGAAAACTTGGCTGGTATCCAATGGGAAGGCAGGATTTGAGGGAACTCTCACTCAAAAGACTTTTTTTCCCGTCCACTGACTCTCGGGCGAATGCGATAGTTAAAAGTCTGGGCAGTCATTGATTAAATCGGGTTGATTGATTTGGAGTTCCCCCACTTCGGCTGGGCTGCGCGGCCTGTTGGCTAAGTTGCCGTACCGGCACTCTTGCTTAGCCGTACTGTAGCAGTAAGCACACACTGTGTGAGCGGTCACGAGCCAAAAAAGAGCTGGAACGGAAAGGATGCCATCCATGGGCTTGGCGGCCTTAAGGCTTGCTACACACCGTGTGGTTGAGTCTTGGCCATGGGGAGCTGTGTGTCAATCCGGGGTATGCTCGTGTACGTATTGGATCATGTTGGAGTGAGCTCCCTCCCTCCCAACCTCCTTGCCTGCCTGTCTGTCTCAAATCTTACCACATGATAGTTGTGTCTTAGTAGTTACGTACTGTACGGACAGCTTCACTGTAGAGTATCATTCCCAATTTCGGCTGTCGGCAATGCACTCAACTGTTACACAACATAGGTCGGGACTTATACCCAGTATATCGCAAGTCTATGAGCAATGAGCCCATGCAACCTACGCATCGGGAGATTCACACAGAGAATGCAGCCTCAGGCTACCCTTTTTTTTGCATGATTCTAGTACGATTGCCCGTTTCCCCAGTCCCGAAGTCCCGATGACGTCGATATCCGAGAACACGCTTGGTGTACGGGACAACTGCCGCACTGCAGGGCTGCATCCCGTGAAGTGTCAACTATTAACGGCTCTTTTCAACGACGCGCATCCGAACGATCCCTGCCTTCAGCACGTCTGAAGGGGAACTTTCAACTCGCCGTAAAATATTCCGTGTCGGTTATAAGGGCTCATAGGGGCTCAAATATACACATAGCACAATCAGCCAGTCTTTCGGATGCGGAAATCCCCCGGAAACGTCGGCTTAATCCCCGCTCATGGAGGTCATGGCACACTTGTGCGGTCATCATGTCCGCATCCTCCTATACTCTTCTATATCGATGTGTTAATCTGCGGCCAACGGTCTGGACTACCATAACGGTTCCTGCTAATCACCCCTCTCAGCCCCTTAGCCTCATATCTGAGCATCGGCTAGGCAGTGTAGGTGCCGTCTAACCGTGTCCGAAGGCTCCACGGGGATCATCCGATGGGGCTTGAGGCCCCAGAACTCTGGAACCGACCGTCGCTGGGTCTGATCCGACCGAACCTCCACGCTTCACCCACGATGACATCGTTGGGGGAGGTGGTGGGTTAGTAGCCAACTTGGCCAGATAGATAAAAAGGCCCGTTCGTAGTCCCAACCCAAGACACCAAGTCAATCGCATCCAAAACACTCTTCAGTCCCCGTGTCAACGCTACGAAACTGAATAGCCCCATTCACCCAACAATAGCAACAGCACCACCACCACTCCCAACCCACAGACCCTACGACCCCAATGTCGACCCCCAAGAAAAACTTCCACGTCGCCATTGTCGGCGGCGGCATCGCCGGCGTGACCCTGGCCATCGCGCTGCACCACCGCAACATCTCCGTGACCATCTACGAGCAAGCGCACGCCTTCTCCGAAGTCGGCGCGGGGGTCTCGTTCAGCCCGAACGCGGTGCAGGCGATGAAGTTCTGCCACGACGGCATCTACAGCGCCTTCGAGAAGGTGTGCACGCGCAACCTGTGGCCGTCCAAGCAGAAGGTCTGGTTCGACTACCTGGACGGCTACAACTACAGCAAGGGTGCGGACGAGACGGGCGCCGACCAGCGCCGCCAGGACATCGAGTTCACCATCTCCAACAGCCTGGGCCAGAACGGCGTGCACCGCGCGCACTTTCTGGATGAGCTGATCAAGCTCGTACCGCAGGAGATCTGCCGCTTCAAGCGCCGGCTGGAGGACATCCACGAGCGCCTTCGCGACGGCAAGCTCATCCTCAAGTTTGCGGACGGGTCCGAGGAAGAGGCCGACGTGGTCATCGGCTGCGATGGCATCAAGTCCCAGGTGCGCCAGATCATCGTCGGCGCCGACCATCCGTCGGCGAAGCCCTCGTACACGCACAAGTACGCCTATCGCGGGTTGGTGCCGATGGAGAAGGCGGTCGAGGCCATTGGGGAGGAGCTGGCTTCGAATTCGTGTATGCATGTGAGTTGTCCTTGATGCCTTGGATTATCCAGGTCGTCTCAAAGTGCTTTCTGTTCTTGAAGTCTCGCGAACGCTGACATAGAATGATAGATGGGCCCCGGCGGCCACATGCTCACCTTCCCCGTCAACGGCGGCAAGACGCTCAACATCGTCGCCTTCCACACCAACCCCGCCGACTGGGCCGAGTACCCCCAACTCACCCGGCAGGGCACCCGCGAAGAAGCCCTGAAGGACTTCGAAGGCTTCGGCCCGAACGTGATCAACCTGCTCAAGCTGACTGAATCCGATCTCAGCGTGGTGCGTACCCACACCCACACCCTTTACCCCTAATCCCACAACTCATCCCTATTCCCCATCAACCCCCTTAAACATGAGACCAGCTCTGACCGCAGCAAAAAGTGGGCAATCTTCGACCTAAACGACCACCCCGTCCCAACCTTCCACAAAGGCCGGGTCGTGATCTCCGGCGACGCCGCCCACGCAACCTCGCCGCACCACGGCGCGGGCGCCGGCTTCTGCATCGAGGACACCGCCGTGCTGGCGACGCTGCTGCAGGACGAGCGCGTGCGCACCCACGCCGACCTGGCGGCGGCGTTCGCCGCCTTCGACGCCAGCCGCCGCGAGCGGTCGCAGTGGCTGGTGCGCAGCTCGCGGTTCATCGGGGACTGCTACGAGTGGCGGGCCGAGGGCGTCGGGCGGGATTTCCAGAAGATCGAGGAGGAGATCAATCGGCGGAATGGGGTGATTGCGAATGTGGATGTCGCGAAAATGGTGGACGAGGCGCGGCAGGAGTTGGGGAGGCGGTTGGCCGTGGCTGGCGGGAGCAAGGCTTCTTTGTAGGGGAGCTTGGGGGTGTATGGAATGATATCAATTGGGGTGTGTATATAGGTAGTAATGTAGATAGTTGCGATTTGTGGCTTTGAGCTTTTGTTAATTTCTATAATGTTTATACATAGCAGCCGGTTGTGAATATGTAGAATTACTTCTTACTTATTGTGTGACGTCAGTCTGGATTGATTTATGAAGAATGCTATAAATAGAAGTAACGTCTTGTTCAGTGTGTAATTACTTTGCTGTCTGAACCAACTATGATCAATGTCTATGTTGATACTATGTGAAGTGCTTCCCGAGACAACGTCAGCCACCTCAAGCTGTCTCAATTCCTCTTCCTCTCACTCATTGGCTTCCCCGCATTCAACTGCCGGGCGCTATCCGACATTTGTCCCACATTTGTCCCGTTTGCCCTGTTTGGTCTGTTTGCCTACCTTTCGGAAGCGGTCAACAACGGCAAGAGAAGGCCGCATCCGATGGGGCTGGGGATTTCCCCTCATCGACTCCCCAACTTCCGAAAGCTTGTTTCACTCCGACTCCTCGAATTTGAGGGGAATATGGGGCTGTTTGACTCGTTCAGTTCACAGGAGAGAGCGCATGGCCTCGTGTGGGCGTCCTGGCTCTGAGCTCCGATGATTGCATCGGATTCCAGTTAACTAGCATTTTTGATGACCTACAATCTAACGTGGTTGGTCGTCCTTCCTCACGGACTGCTCCCACCCGACCTCAGCCAGCTTCGGTGCCTTTGATCACCCGGAGAAATGCGCCACAGTCTGAAAAGTGTATCAGCAGGCGCTCATCTACCTCGTTCCACAATGCATTGGAGCCAACCTTTCTCATTAAAGAATTCCAGCTCGAGACATTTGGTGCGTTGACCGGACCCTAACGTGGAGGCCGAATGCTTAGACTCGTGCGAGAGGACACTGGTCGCGCTGTCCATGGAGCCGCGCCGCGAGATGCCTTGAAATGCGAATTTGACCTGCTTCGACTTGGCGATGGGCGCTCCAAGATCGCTCACTGAAACGCATCAGCCGCCTTAGACAATCACGCATCACTCTTGTTGACATACTGGGTATGTCCATGAATCTCGCTCGCCGGGAAGTGCCCGGAAAAGAAGCGAAGTACAGCAGCGATAGACCCTTTGAAATTGGGTCTTCAAGTATCCGGATTGCTTCTGCCGAGTTGGAGTGGCAGTCTGTCGCATTGATGGATATCTTTCTTGCGTCGATACAGGAAATGACCTTCCGGCGGAGGAGAACTTCTTGAAAGGACTCAAAGTCTGTGAAGGTTAGTCTAGGTGCCTGATCAACCCTTAGCCCGTTTCGATTGACTGTACCGGACATGTCCTGGAGTTGATACATTGGGGAGATGTGGTAGCGCGTGGTTGTATGGTGGTCTTCGATCTTTGTCTTGTGCGAGCCTTGAAACCAGACTCCGAGCTGGGCTGTAGTGACTCGTCGGCTGGGAACGTATGGGTGCATGGAGCTTTTAACCGTGGATGATCCGCGGATGACTGTTTGAGTGACCCTGGCTCCGTCTTGGACATCAACTGCTTCGATCGCTTCAGGCTCGTTTGTTTGTGTGTTAAAGCAAGCAACGACATTGCACATGAGAGGACGGTGTAGCACACGTTTTGGGATGTTTGGGTCGAGAAATTCTCTAACGGAAGAACGGTTAGTCAGAGACTATTTGGGTCCGGGGAAAGCGAGAAGGAAGCAGAGCATATTGACGCGGGCACGTACAGCCGCACCGGATGGCTTGTCAATGAAATCCTTCTGTCGGGTATCGGCATAGAAACCACTGACTGAGGAGACCCAATGGTCAGATCAGACTCTGTGGACCTCTGACGAGATATAGGTCCTGATGTGCGGTCATCCTGAGAAGGCGACTTCTTCGGACTTAATGGGTGAGACAGTCCTGGCGAGTGAAGCCCCAAATCATGAGCGTCCGTATTGAAGGCGTGAACGAGTTGAAAGTCAAGCCATTGTCGGAACTGTTCCCATTCCTCGGCAGTGTCGTTGATGGTGTGGCGTGATGTTGGTGAGACTTGATCTTTTTGATAGAGATCATGATTGGGCACAAGATCGTGTCCGTATCCCACCATCCCCAAAGCATCGCGCACGTCGTCGCTCACTTGATGAAGGAAGCGCGATATAGCTGCGACATCGAGTGTATTGCTATCGTCGCTATTGACCGTATGCGGAAGCCCACCAGATCGGGACCGTTGTGCGAGACCATGGGTGTCGTAAGTGTCGATCCTCCGAGTGAGATTGCCCAGTCGCTCAGATATGTCCCGGATGCGATCTAGAACCCTTTGATACTTTTGACTATTCACCTGGCTGAGCACGTCGTCGTCCTCGGGTATCGCACTCAGCATATGCTCTGACTCCAGCAGAGCTCGCCTCAGTCTGTTCCTACGGTGATTCGGGTCATGAGCGTCAAAGGCATTGGTCTCCATCGAACTGTCGAGCATGTATCGCTTCAAAAGTAAAGAAATCTGTGATGTCATGGTTCTTTCAAGCGTTAGCATGCTATGTAATGACTGCACTTCCTTCAGGGAAAAGACGTACTTGATGGACTTCAGCATCTCGAGATTCTCCAATTGATTATTCTCCGTTGCCTTCATGAACCCGAACGTCGCATCTCGCGTTTCCTGACTCGATTTCAATGTCGCAATTTTCAGACATCTCTCGAGCTTTCGTCGGAGCCTTTCCGCTTCGTCACGCTCTAGTGGCCAGGTAACCTTCTCGAATAGGATGGTCGCTTTGGTGCCGAAGCTGTTACGCCGACCCTTCAAGGCCTTTTCACCCTGCGTCAATTGCCGATGCTTATGTACGAACCCTGCGCATTCGTCAATCGTCTGGTTGTAGAAGGCCCCCAGATCTCGTTCGCCCTTGATGGTCGGCTGCTTTGTCTTTTGAATCTGCTCCAATAATCCTTTTATGGCCCCGAATTCTTGCCGAAATGAGTTAAAGTCGGCAGAAGCACTTGCTGGTCCTTCTTTGACATTCTTGTAGATAGTCCAGACAGTAGTAACGGCTGTCATGACATCTCCAAGACCTATCTGGGGAAAGCTCATTGCTTGTTCCCTGTCCTAGAATGTGTTCTTCAGAACAAGAGGTGCTTCGTTGTTGACGGTTTGAAATGCACAATCAAGCAGAAGGGAATCGGAGCAGAATGGATATGTGTCTGCAGGATAGATCACCGCATCCCGGCGCTGGCAAGTCACAAGGGACTTTGAAATGCCACGAGGCTGAGCTACCATGGGAGGAGTAAAGTGCCTTCTGCCTTCGTTTCTGTCTGGTCAGGCTACAGCTGGTCGCCGAGGGCAAATGAGCTTCACAGGGGGTGTGCGAACATAACTGCGCCCCACTACCTGGCCTAGAATTGAGACAATATCGTCTTCAGAGCCCTGACTCTTATCGCCTCAACCACATGGTAGGTACCCTGCGCTTTCGATTGTGGATACCTTCATCGGGCAAGCTCTCGTGGTGGCGGTGCACGAGCCCCTTAGCACCGGTCTGGTTTCTCCTTTTAGACCAATCGAGGAGCTTTGGTCAGAAACGTGCTGAGATGAGTCGATCAATTCGATATGACGTACAGACATACCACTATATTCTGGCTTCCAACACGAACCCGGATGATAGCCCCCGGGGTTACTTTTCATCTCGTCTTTTCTTGTCTGCTTGGGTTCAAGTAGTGGCACCAGTGTCTTGTGAGACAGCAAGAAATATGTCCCATCAGCATCAGCGGCTACCGCCCCCTTGTCAGCCTTGCGACCTTGCAGCCTCGCAATCATCGTATACCTATAATTGCAGGGACTGATCTGCGTTGACATTAATTCCGACTGAAGGAAATGAGTCCGCAGTCTAGAAACAGGCCATTCTATTCCAGCCTCTCAACTCGGTTCGTACAGAGGCACTACTTCAGAATTAGACCAATCAGGTTTTGAGCTCCTGCCAGTCTAATCGATTGCTATGGGTCTTTTTCCCCAGGTCAAATTGTACCTGAATCCGTGGGGAAACTACGAAGACTTCAGACACCATGCTGTAGTTATAACCCTCCTCTCGTCATTCAACGGGCGTTGAGTACTTTGCTGACTCGCCTATAGGCGGCCCAAAGACACGATTTTGTTATCAGTCGTTTAGAGAATGCGAGGAAAAGAGAATGGCTGTGGGTTATTGTAGTGGCTGGTACCGGCTTCTTCGCAGATGCATACTGTGTAAGTGACTTGAGTATCAAGCACACGTCCGTGACTGACCTTATAGATCTTTTCGGTCAACATGGTCACTCCGATGCTTAGTGCAGTTTACTGGAACAACATCAAGCTCAAGTCTAACACTTTACACAATTATCAAGTTGCCCTCGCCATTGCCACCTTGGGGGGTGCGCTGGTGGGCCAGATCCTGTTTGGCATCGCCGCTGACATCTGGGGTCGCCGTAAGATGTATGGATGGGAACTCATCATTCTCATATTCAGCACTCTCGGTATGTCAATGGCATCGTCTGGGAAGGATGACTCCATGTCCATGATTGGAGTTCTGCTCTTCTGGAGATTCTTCATGGGGGTGGGGGTAGGGGCTGACTATCCATTGTCAGCCGTGATATGCTCAGAGTATGACCGTTTTGTTCTTCTTGTGTGCAGTATGTTGCTCAAGACAGTTCTCATGGTGTTCCAGGCTTGCTCCGACACGCATAAGAGGTCGCATGCTGGCAGTTGTGTTTCTTTGCCAGTCTCTTGGAGAGGCGGCAGCTGCCGTCGTGGCACTCATCGCCGTAGCTGGCTTCCGAAACAGCCTCCCAGATGACCCCAACAGTCTGAAGTGTACGGGCTCCTGCGTCCATGACCTGGACAAGATATGGAGGTATATTGTCGGCTTGGGTGCAGTCCCGGCATTTGTCGCGATTTGGTTCCGGATGACTATCATTGAATCTCCACGATACACTGCCGATGTGATGAACAATAGTCTGCAGGCTGCCGCCGATGTCTCCCAGTTCTATCGGTCAACAGATTTATCAGCCACATCGATGTCCAGTCTGGGAAGGGATTCGATCTCTCTCACACAGACCCGTACACGCGAAGATCGCACTATCTCGCCGGCCGTCTCCGGCGATTCTGGCTCTGGAGCCAGCGAGAATGGCCCAAACTCCCGTGTAAGTATGTGGAAGGACTTTAGAATGTTTCTCAAACAGAAAAACAACCTCCGCACTCTGATCGCGACTTCTCTGTGCTGGTTCTGCCTCGATCTGCCGTTCTATGGCCTGGGCTTGATGAATGCGGAGATCATCAATACCATCTGGTATGGGCAGGCCATTCAGCCAGCGGGCGTCTACCAGTATCTTCTGCGCGTGTCATACCAAAGCATTGTGGTCGTCTCATCTGGTGCCATTGTCGGCAGCGCAATCGCTGTCATGACGGTCGACCGCATTGGCCGGCGAAATCTGCAGCTCTTGGGCTTTGCTTGGTTGTTCATACTGAACGTGATCATCGGTGCGGCCTTTCGGTATCTCAGCGAGCATGGCGATGCATCGGCTCTTGTCGTGCTCTATGTGCTGACGCAAATCTTTTTCAATTTTGGTAGGTTCATACGCTGCCTTGGAAAGAGCTGGCTAATGCCGGACTAGGACCGAACACTACGACTTATATTGTATGTTACACACATTGGTATTCCGTTGACTCCGACAAGAGTTGCTCGTTGTTAACATCATTAAAATCACCTCTGACACCCTGCAGGTTCCCGCGGAACTCTTCCCCACTCGCTTCCGCTGCACCTGCCATGGTATCTCGGCTGCATCCGGTAAACTGGGATCCATCCTAGCCCAGTGTTTCCTGGGTTATGTGGACTTTGGAAACGGTGCAAACTGGCGACACGTGCCAGATTGGCTGGGTTATGCGCTTCTATGGTAAGCCCATCGGGTTTCGTCTCGGGCGGTCAAGGTCTGACAAGCATCTAGCCTGTCTTTCTTCATGCTGATGGGCCTCATTGTCACCCTTTGGATACCAGAGACACGGGATTCGAGCGGAAAGAATAAGTCTTTGGAACGAATCGCGGCGGAGATGGAATTCAAGAAGGAGTGTGATCGGGATATTGAGACCAATGGCTTGCATAGGCCGGTTACTGACGGTTCTTGAGGTTTCAATCGCTTCATGTGGCCCTTCTTTGCTGTGATACCTATGTATTCCTGACCTTGCTTATGGCCCTATTTTTGAGCAGTGACGAAGGCTCATCCAGGTGCTAAGACTCATTCAATGCTCCGCTTGAATGCACCAGCAAAGCAGATTCAATCTTATGATGGCGAGCTGCCGGTCACTGTATTCTAGTAGCCTTTCTGAAAGACTTATTCACTTTCCTTTTGGTAAGCAAGTTCTAAATGATTCACCTATTGCGTGCAGCCTGCAGAGCTAAGTTATTGTCTCACTTTCATTGAATGTGAATTGACCTATTGTTGAAAACCATTAACTCTCCGACTGGCTGCCCATTCCCCAGAGGTGGTCTGGCTCCTTCCTCCACTATTTAAATCTCCATCCACTCCCTCTTTTTCTTCTCTTCCTCTTCCTCTTCTTTCCATCCACCAACCTACCCTCCTCCATCACCCCATCTCTTACGTCTCTCATCCTTTTTCTTCCTTACCCTCCTCCATCACCCTTTCATCTATCAAGCCATCATCCTGATTATCTTATATGATGCTTATCATCTCATATGTCTCATCCACTCGGTATACTGTTCAATACATGGAATGCCGCTAGACAGAATGGGCCCGTTCCTCAAGCAGACAGCCATCTGGCCTATACTGAGTGCGCGCTGTGCAGCCTTGAACGAGAACCTCAGGCCATCTCCTAGTAGTCTTTGGTGTTGGATCACCGGGCAGAAGTCCCTCAACCCGGCCACTTCGCCTGTGACGGGCGAGGTGTCATCACTGGGTTCGTTGCAGATCAAACGTTCATGGCAAACCCACTCAGCAGTCTGCTTGCCAGAGGCTCCCAGTACATCTTGCAGGATGAGGACCGATCTTATCCTCAGGAGCAACTGCGATGCCCACGCAGAGTGGAGTCCTTTGCATAAAGATGCAACAGCTCTTGGTGCGAGACCAAATCTCCTCCCGCCCTACCAAAAGCTCCAATATTTCGACTAGCCGCATGAGGACCTTGAAAGGCAAGTTTAACCACCAGTATATTGACTGCTTGACTGTGCGAGGCTATACCGACACTGTCAGTTTGGCGTTCTTGATTTTCAGTCTATTTCTGCATCCCTCCTGTTATCATCCCGTTATCAATCCGACTCTTCAGGATGCCGGTTTTCTCTTTTATCTCCAAGGCAGTGGACTAAAACTCTCGCTGCCCGTATTGCAGACACAGCATCTTATCCCAAGGAAAGATGACCTGATCACACGGCTTGCACATCTTTTGGGACTTCATTGGCCGTTCGATTTTTCACACGTTGAAGATGCCATCTCTTGTCATGGTACCACTGACATCCTGGTCCACATCACTGAGGTGGTATTCTACCTCTACGCGGATGCTGTGAGGCATGAAGCAACCTCGAATGTCCTAGGCGTCTGCACTGAAATCCTCGATCTGATGCTTGAAATTATTCCCGTCCACCTTCCCCAACTGCGGTGCTAATCTCAGCATACCAGAGCGTTCACAACATTATCTCGAGACCCTCAATCCCCAACAATGCAGAAACCCGAGACCTCCTGGAACACAATGTTACAACTCTTCAAAAGGAGGGGGAAATAAGCCAATCAACATTGGATAGAAGGCTTCTGTCCAGAGCCACCAAAGAATCCACAGGTATCGCCGCAGATGCGCCTGCCCTGCAGTATGGCAGTTCTCGGACGCTGTGGTTGAAACCGGCGTGCGAGGACTGGGTCAGGTATAATCGGACGATCTGACAACTCACAAATTTTGAGTTCTAACGCGCCAGCATCTTTTCTTTTGGTTTCGTGTGCCACCATCAGAGTGCTTCTGCGAGCTTCGGTGTTGGGCCGACTTGGGCTTCATTATTGTATGCTCTGTATGTTTCTCTTCTTCGCGTGCTTGTTTTCTTCCCCTCCCGCCTGCGAAGTTTGTGCCTAATTTGCGTCTTCAACCTTCCGCTGTAAAGTCCTCGTCCCGACCGCCGCCGCTGCTGCTCCTGCTTCCCTCCGGATAAGCATCACAATTCTTTCTTCTGGGTCCAGCTAACAGCAGCCAGTGTACCGCGAGCGTCCCCCAACCATCAAGAAAGGGAAAAAGGCTGGCCCCGCCCCTGCGATCACCGCCGCCGTTATTGCAGTTGTACCTGCGCCTCCGGCCGCCGCCGCAAATCCCGCCGCCGCCGTGCCCCTCCCCCCACGTACGGCCATATATACGCAGGGAAATCTGGTCCTCCAGCTGATGATGATTGAACATCATAGCAGCTCCTGTGGTCAGCGACTCCCGTGGTCCCCGGCCCCATGCTTCCAGGACCTCCCCTGTCTCCAGCGGCCACATTTAGTGCTGACTGAAACCAGCCGGCGTCCCGCAAACGGACTAACAACAAAGAACATGACGTTTTTCTCTTTATCAAGCTGCCTTCTGCAGTCTGGTTTGCAGGTCGCACGGAGGCAGCATCTGCTGTGGTGTCTGGCCTCTTCCCCTGGACAGATTCGCAGCTCCTGTCGGGTCGCGAGCGGGCCTGGATCCGCGAGCCCTCTTCCGAAAGGTTGTTCCGCGACTGTATCAGTGGAGGGATGGGGCAGAAGTGCAATAATCGTTTGCACGCGGGTGGCAAGCACTGCTCTCTTGCAGAGTAGAACCGTTCCCCGCGTGTCCCGGCTTCTGTCCTCTGTGAGTAAGTGCTGTAGCCCGCGTTGGGTGTGTGGAGTGCGTGGTCGCAGGTGGTTCGCAGTTTATATTTAGTTCTGGCTTTCACTTGAATCTTGATCAAGCCTTTTATGCTGCGTCTTTCAGCTAGAACTCACCCGGCGGCGGGATTATCGACGTGCTGACGGCTTCTGGAGCATTCCGAACGGCCTCCGAGAACCGGAACATGCGATTTGGGAAGGGAAGAGTAGGCTACGATATGGTCCATGTATCCTCTCACTCTCCACTGTCGAATCTGGTCTCGATCAAACGCTCGCCTTCCTGGCGAGATTCCCTATCGGCTGAACCCAGATTCTAACGAAAACTTTGGATGCTTCGAGCGAGGAAAAGGATTAAACCAGACAACATTTCTGAGAAGATTAGGGCCATCGTGGTTGTGCCGCCAAGCCAGCCGCTGTGCTCCTCTGTGACAAGAATGCGAAAACTATGGCGATGAAACATTCTCTAGGGAATCTACAGCACACTACCAACCAAAGGTCAACCGGGTCTCTTCTGGTGCCGCTAATACCTCAGATCTTATGATCCCAGTGTCGTACAACCTGCAGCAGCGGCTTTACCTGACGATCCTGGTTTGGAGATAATGGCAATGTCATGGCTTCAGTTTTATCCAACATTCAGGTCTGGAACATGCACGCATCTCAGGGAGCCGAGCGACCGATCGTTATCCTTGGCTTGGTGGTAACAACGAGCCTTGGCATTTTTCTTGAAATGAAATTCAACAGATCCAATATCGCGTTGGGCCGAGCTGAGGTCAGCATCTTACATCATCGCCAGCGTCGTCGAAATGAAGCAGTCTGTTGAAAAGCGCGCCCCCCGAGGAGCAGCCCAAAACCATCAAATAAGTGCTCTGGGAGAAGTGACAGACCTGCTCACCGCGGGCGACTCATATATAGGTCATGTAATGATTCTATGATGGAGTAGGGGGTGCTTGAGAAGCCCGCAGTGATAGATTCCGGCGCTATGACCGGTACGAGACAATGGCTGACAAAGAGTGAGGCAGTGAGCGGGATCACAGCAAATCGAAACACAAGCCATAATGCTCATGATGGCGTCCGGAAGGTCGGCGAGAACCTGAAAGTCCGAATGTGCTGCTGCCAACGTTATATTTTTATTCTTCAGGACACGCGGCTACTGGGTCGACCAACATCATACGGAGGGCATGATAGCTTCACTCAACCGCGCTCCCAGGGCCTTAAGAGCAAAAGAGCAATGCTGGTACAAGTCCGAGTCATCCCGTGCGAACAGAAGATTGATAACCTGTTTCTGAAAAGCCTAGTACTGATTGTGGACAGTTGTGATCCATCGGTACGCTCTGAATGAATCGAAGACCTCATCAGTGCCTATGTTCAGCATATTCACGGATCCAAGAGATCGGAAGAGCAAGAATCAAGCGAGCCCGATGAATTGACGTACTGGATCATTCGATTCAAAGCTCGAAGCTGCACCGTCTTTGGATTGGACTTGGATTACAAGAGCTTCGATGCCGCACCGGCCAACTTAACTACATTTGCCAACTCGACCGTAACTTGAAGAACGGCAACGGAAGTCACATCATTTCACGTGAGAATTATCATTACAATGCTGATGAAACTTCGGCAGAGGATCTGAATAAGAAGGCTAATTCCAATATCTACCCCTAGAGCACCCCAAACAGAGCCGACCCGGCGCATGCGTGACGCTTGGGCTAAATGGGGTCATCCATCACACTGATGACCATTATTTCCCTGCTGCCTTGAGAGCTCTGATCTTTGAAGCCCTTGTTCGTTCTGAAGACATCGATGATCACGCATGGAGTATATCTCGAACCTAGAAGCGTTGTTCCAGCTGGGTCGGACAGCCGCATGATGAAGAAGATGGCACCACGCCAAGTTGGATCAACCTGGGGTTGGGAATTAGCATCAAGTCCCTTTTACAGAATTTGCGAGAAAAAAGCGGATTATCTTGCCAGAAGCGGTCGAATCATAAAGTCACAAAGTGCACCCAAGCACCGACAGGCCAGCTTCGGCCCTGCGCTTGAGTACGGTGGTGACCTGTGTATGAAGACCAATCTTACGGGAATCCCGAGAACGATCCAGAAAGTGAGAACAACCACTTGCAGATGGAATGGATAGGTCACAATCGCGAGTCCGATGGAGGGATCGCCTAGCCGCGCGGGGCTCATCAAATCATACGGAACATTGTCGGTTGACCAGTATAATACGATCTACAACTTCCTGGAGCTCGTTCTGGGCCACGACGTATCTCTACCACCGAGCAAATCTCGCGGCTGGCAGACTCACGTCGAAACAATCGTTCTCTACTGCCAAGTTCACTACAAAAGTACTATTAACAATAGATTTCCAGGGAGTAACCGGACTGCTAACTTCATGCAACAACTGTTCCATGTAAGATCCAAGCAATGGTGCTTAACAATCCTCAGTTTGCTCCAAGGGACTGGGGATTAGGAAATCCTTACCGCCGCCCCCCCCCCCCCAGCCCGACGGTGGAAGAATCAATTCGCTGCACCCATGATCGACCAGAACAGAACGGCAACGAACGAGACGGGAAGCTCCTACAGATACCGGGATACACTACCACCCGCAAAAGGTCCTGCGGTCGGTGCAAGAAAGAATTGGGAAATGGTGGGACCTCCCTCCTTATAACGCGCAAAATGCAAAGATCATGGAAAGGCTAACGAACCGGTACTCTGATAGTCAGCAGAAGCTTAAGTTCCTGACACTCGATGCATCTCAAGGATCGGAGGCTGACTGCGTCAGAATTTCTCTATGCAACAATCTCGGCACGCCAGGCTTCCTTCGTTCCAAGAAAAGGGTGAATGTGATGATCTCTAGGGCCAGGCAGATGGTCTTTTATGTCAGAAAATGGTCCTGTATCAGAAGTCCCATTTCACAAGATTGCTCGCCGACTCTCTTTAATATGCTGGATTACTACTCCAAGCATATCCCCAACTTTGTGATCACTCTCTAAGACGCCTTGCTTGCCGCTAGAAAGGTGCCGTCATCTGGAACCCGGGCTTCCTTTTAGCCTGTGAAGATTTCAGAGGATCAGAAACCCCTCACACTTTGGTTGTTCTGGCTGCCGACGACAAGGCCCACCAAAATAACGGGTATATTGATGGATGACGAGGACCTGCCAACCAGCCATTAGATTTCGCGTATGGAATCAACAAGGGGAAACTGCAACTTCCACCTTAAACTCTCCGCGGAGAAGAAACGAGAGATTACCTCGTCTATTTTCCAGTGCTGTCGCAACAGCAAGAGCTGTATCCATGTCCCCGCTGTTTAGTCATCACAGTCCCTCGCGTCGAAACTCGGACTGAAACCGTTATAGACAACCACGCACAGCTACAGTCAAAAAGCAGTCTGGAGTTTCGGACATCAATGACCCGAATCTATGTCGTGTCGAGCACATGCCATGGTATTCTCAGGACAATGCTCATCGATGCTGTCAGTGTTTCTGAGTAATCCAGCCCACGTGATCCGAGGCGATTCACCAAGCGTGTTGCCCACCTTGAGAACTCAGATAGTTCAACCAATACAACCACCAGGGATTCAAGGACACGTTCTAAATAGAATGGCGGCTTTGCTGGCGGCTTTTATATAAACTGGTAAGCGAGAAAACTGCCGCCATGGAGGTATGTCACACAGCTTGCGACCGCTTACCAGCAGGAGCTCCAGTCCTCGTCACATATAGGGCCCGTGCAGAGGACATCCAGCGCATCCTTGCGAGCCAGGTTCCTCAGCGTGGCGATTTAGAGGCTATGCTCGACGAGATGTTCCAACTCGCCTGGCAATGGAATGAATTCGATCTCTGGAACAAGTGGAGGATTCCAGCAGCTATATTGTTCTGCATGGCCTTACCAATATCAAATCCAAGCGAACGTCACCAGGGCCCAACATGGCAAGGGAACTAAATACCCACCAAAATGGCAAATCGTCAGCAAGACAGACATACTTCGTCCGCGGTGGGACGGATGCAAGGTAGTCATACCTATATGGTATGTGCGGTCTCGCCTTGTAAGCCAAACGCAATATGCAGGTTGCGGAAGGCAATGCAGAAACGAGGTCGTCGTCTCAATACCGCTCAAATCTACAATCATCGTGGTGAAGAACACAATTGCGGCCCATGTCCCAAGTGCAGATGTAGCGTCAAGGGCATGTGCTTGAAAGGAATAATTATAACCTTATCACTTACCTTCATGCATGATGATGACCTTGGCCGAATCCGAGCAGACCAGTTGTGACCAAGCAAATATTCAGGTCTCCAAACTGCAGAATTTGTCAATGGGCTCAGGCTTCTCCCGTGCGCAGCCGTTGCGCCCGGCATACAGCAAGCGCAAGGAGATTGAACATGGTTATGCATCCGTGATTCAAAGACAAGCTACGCATTCCCAAAACGCTAATCCACATACTAGGATAATTCAGTTAGGATGCACACGGACGATAAAGACAAGGGTCGGGGAGATGGAAAGAGTGCGTCGCCATGGACCAACGGCTTCTCGAAAAGCACCGCATGGACAGCCACGCTGCGTGTGGAAACTGCATTCAAAAAAAGCGAAAGGGGTACTGCTCGTTCAACCCTAAATATACAGTAGAAAAGGAGCAAGAACGCCGCACTAGGAGGAACGATCGTCAACGTGCCAACCGCAAGCGCCAGCGAGAGAACGTGGAGGAGGAGGAGGAGGAGGCACACGGACGAGAAACAAGAAACGGTCACGTTTGCTCCGCTTCGCAAGGCCTCCGCGAGCGGCACAACCGCATGATTCACCTCCGTCTCCTATGTTGAGAACAGACATGACACGGACCCATATGTGGCTGCAAAGGCGAGTAAAAGTAAGAAGGATTTGGACAGAAGTGCAACAAGTGGTTGCGGTGCAGATGTAGGTACTGTTTCTGGCGGAAAGGACGGCCTGTCCAGTTGCTTATCCGTGCAAACCTACTGTATTCTGAGCCCAGTGTCTAAAATTCTGGAGATATTAGCTAAGCTAACTTTATGACAGAAGCATACCGTTTGCCTGGCTGCTGTATGTGAGCCCTGAAGGGCCTGCTTCGTTGCAGCCAGTCGTTAGGACCGTGTCGCTGAGCCGTGTTCGAGTATTGTGTTTTGCACACAACTATGGCTACTATCGTCGCATGCTGCGTATAAAGCATACAAGGATGCGTGCCATGGATTTGTGGTCATAAACGTCAAGTATTATGCCACAAGACTTTTCTCTTGCAGACCTTACCCCATCCACGTCCATCTCCGCACCCGCACTTCGCGAGTTGGTGAGGGTTGCCGCAAATGTACAAAGACTGGCGTGTGCGTGCAACATCAGGCTGTGGTCTGATATCACTAGCTGTGACGATCACCTGAATCGCGCAAACATGGCCGTGGCCTGGGCTGAAGCCGCCCTCAGTCTTTTGCCATTTAATTCGAACCGATAGGTTTTGTCTGTGGCGAGACACTAAAGCGGACTTACTCGGTTATGTCGCTAACCATAATGGCGTTATACTCAATAGATACTGAAGGAGAAACGACTTGGCGCATTTAATGCCAGAGGACTGGCAGAGATTGGGAAGGTGTCTCAGGTTCTTCGATGGTTAACCGAGCAAATAAATGATGATAGACAAAAGAAGTCTCAACCGACCTCTAGATCGAATTTGGTTAGATCATGGATTGTTCGCCAGATAGCTGAATCCATTCATCTTCACGCTCTCATCAGGTTATGAGCTCTCCGCTTGGCAGCGAGCCTTTCTACCCCCACATCCCCAGGATATTTCGACACGGAAGGATGTACTAGTTCAGAATGTGTTCTGTTCGGTCCAGCGTTCGTGTTTCCCATGCACGGGTGCTTTTTTCATCCCCAAGATCAGGGATGGTACATCCTGTGCGGCGGAACGGTTGCTCAAGAGCAAACGGTCTCTGCTGCTCTTGGAGCTCTTAGATTCTAGCGTCTCGAGGAACGTCGAGATGCCTGTTCTCGCCGCCGTGCCGAAACTCTCCCTCCTTCGACTCTTCGTAGTCGACCGACGAGGTTGCGGCCGGACTGCCCGCTCGCTCGGATTAAGCCTGAGATAATACTACACAAATTGAACACCAATGAGGACGACCTCCCGTATTACTTGTCTAGCAGCTTCGGCCAGCGAGTATCCTCTTTGAGTTGCCGGACATCACCGAAGATGAGCTACAAGACAGATCAAAGCACACCCAACGGAACGGATACAGTGTATCCTAGTTTCCTCAGATAATCTGCTTTGCAGGCTTCACTACAATCTTCAATATTATGGAGGGAGATACATTCGCCGTAACCAGTGGTTTCCAGGAGGGCCAGACCCACTTCCAGCAAATGCGCTCCGTATTTGGCGATGAGATTACTCATCTGGAACGACTCCGTCGCTTGGTTACTACTAGTAATACTTTAGTAGCGACTGCGCTCGACTGCGACTTTTTGGATGCAGTGACATCAAGGGTGAGTGTGGGGCTTACCGGCGCACGCCCATGAGCATTGCCTGTCCCCCGTTCTGCGCTTGTTCTCGTTAGCCAGCCGGTTCTTGCGCAGTCGCTGCTTGACCCGGACATCGAAGACGTGGTCGTTATCCACTTGGAAAGCTGTCGGCACCTTATTCCTGCTACATCTAATGTATACCAACCAGCCTCGGGTGGATGGTTGGACTGTGTTGCTTCCGACAGTTGCAATGATACAGTCCCAGCTGTGTTTGTGTGCTGGAGATTTGGAGCTGCTGCTTAGTCGGGAGAGAATCTACACCTGAATGATATCGATATTCAGGCAATAATCAACACATATGGGGAGTTGTACGAGGAACGCCTCCGGGAACTTCTGCAACCTTTCCCCTAGTTTCCCGGCTCCTGCGGCTGATAGTTTGATTATTCTAGCTTGATGAACCGCTCTTCCCACTTCTTCTGTTGTTTCTCCTTGTGTCATTTCCGAGAGAAATTGGCATGCACACGTAAAGACGCTACGACTGAGGCCAAAGGCCAGCCCGCATCGGAACATCAATCTCGAGGCGATCTGTGGTGTGTACGAAAATGCCTGCAATTGCGAAAACCCGGCCCTGCTTCTTCTGGTGAGTTTGTATGGCGTCATTTTTCCCCTGTCGCGTGCTCGGAGGGTATTTTGAAGCGTTCATTCGGAGATCGTCGGTATTGACTAATAGCTGGGGAATGATATTTTCGCTATAAAGCATCACATTGCGATGCCCAAACTCTATCCAAGACCTCAATCCCTCGGCGTTGCGCCTTTTGCACGCCTTTTTAATCACGATACCAATTACCTTGAAGTCAAAGATTCGAACGGATCACCCGCGGACTTTGACACCGCGGATGTTTAAGTGAAGCTCACATATGCTTCATGTCAACTCATTGTTGTATTTTGCTGTACATGATCTGTGGCAATACCCAGTCTGCCGTCTGCCCTTTCTCAATATGCAGCACGTCAGCATGCACTGCCAGCTGTACAGCTCACAGACCGCAAGATCGACAAATTCACAGCTATCTGACTTATGCCTTCTACTCGGAGGGTCTCGAAGAGGCACCACTTGGAACAAACCGTCTAGGATCGACTGGCCAACTTGAGAACGAAGTCTCATGACTGGTGTATTTGGCTGTTGAGCTTTTGACTGCACATTACCGAGCCCTAACTTACCCTTGCTGGCGACTTTGATACCGAAGGCCGGATTAGAGCAAACTGCGTTCTGTTCAAGTGAACGTTCGTCTTCAGACTTGACAGTATGCTCTTTCGCCCCAATATAAGGGGCGGTATATGCATTGCGGTACGGAAGCTGTATGCACGAACCGAATCTGAATCCTAGGCGCTCAACGCCACAGTATCAGTTCCTTAATAATGTGTTTTTCCTGGGCCACGCTGTCATCAAAATACCGCTGCATAATCACCTCAAAGTCCGAGCCAACAACTCTATGATCTATACGGTCCGGGAATCCCCGGCAAGGCGGCACGCACCCTCATTAATAATATATAGTCTGATGCTGTGTATTTATTCTGAACGGCACGCACCCTTTCTACAATATTACCGGCTGCACATACATCAGCGACCTCGAACAGGGATCATTCATGATGTTATACGTCCGTATAGAAGACGCATAAGTCTGACAGTGGTAGCATGTCATCCGAGCTTACAACTACAGGGATTCTTATCGTTGTGGTCTTGTGTTCATGATCAAGATCCTCCAGGGGCTGTGCGAAACAACTTCTTGGTGGCTTGGAAGATCCTCTATGATAGGGAAACCAGCCCGCTGAGGGTGGGGGTCCCAGCACACACTGTGCACTCACAGAAGGTGTATTGACACTACAGCATTGCGTGCTCGAGCGGATCGAAATCAAGGCAGAAGAACAATATGTGCTGAGATACATCAGTGACGCTTGGGTTCTTCTAGCTATTCACGAATTATCAACAACAGACAGAAACCTCTACCACCCCGCTGATTTCGATAGGCAAGGAAATCTACGACCATCCCGTGTTCCTGCCGGCGAAACTTTCATCTTTTCACGCGCATGAAAACTTCTTTTTTCCGGTTTATCGTCGACACGGGCATGGGAGAATATCCGTCTCTCCGATACGGAGAAGCTCATGTGAAGCGAATAGACCTCAACTATGCTATTCTGACGCGAGACAAATGAGCAAAGATCATGAAATGGTGCGCTTATCTTAAACCCTGCAGAACAATGATTGGGAAGACATTGAGGAGGAAGATGGGGTAAATAGGGATCTACTGGACCCCGATGTGTTTCCACACGTCTTCCAATGAATCAAATGAGAAGTATTTCTATCAAGTGCTTGATCTAGGAGCGAATATTATCGAAGCTTGGTAGACACGTTCAGATATCGACTTGAGGGTATTTTTGGATATACCTGGACTCTAGCACGCCAGACCCCAAAAGACAATGTGACAAACGGCAGCCCGTTGACAGGCGGATATAGGCTATCTTGGCTAATACATTGGGGGAAAGTCTTCTCCGTGTGATTGACAAGATTGAACAGACAATTCTCCCAGTGGTTCGTACAATATTTGGTCGTCCGAAACCGACTCGAAAGGAAGTGCTTCTTCTCCCAACATCTGTTGTCGACTGACTTGGTATCATCGACAGCGGCTTGCACAAAGAGACACCAAAAGCAATGAGCTACCGAAGGACAGTATTTTGGTAGGCCATGCCCATCTGAACAATCTACTCAAGCATAACCATATGGTAGATTATACGTGTTGATGTTAAATTCTTCCACCATCGGTTTATGCAATTAATCTCCATCGCATATGCCACGCCCTCTACCCAAGAACCATGTTTTCCTCTCTCTATCCTTCTTCTTTTGCGCATGCCAGCCCTATGTTTTTCTGTCTCCTCTATCACTGTTCCCCTACATGTGTCTTGCATATACAATAATTCTTTCCGTTAACATCGTCATTCTCTTAGTACATGCCCAACTTTTGCTAACCTGATGTTCCTTTAGATCCCTTTTGATTATCCTGTCCATACCTTCCATACACCACGCATACACCAAGATGTCTGCTACTGCCCATCTTTGGACAGAGGATGATGTTAACAATCCTGAGGTTCTGAATGCAATCAACCCACATCCCGGGTTTGGGTACTTCCATGGTTGGTATATACCCTGCCTATCCAGTTCCTTGCTAAGCATATGCAGGGTCGATCCCAAACAACAACTCGGAATGACAGCCTCACTCCACGCGCGCCTCGTGTCTCTGCGGAGGATAACAGCGGTATGTGTATAGCCAGCACATATGCGCTGCAAATGCCGACGATATACCTAGCTCCGCCTAATGAAGGTGTCCTTGTCAGTTCTGTATCAGGCCGTGTGTAAGTCTATCAAGCGCATATCCGTAGCATATGCTAACCCCTACAGC